GCAAGAATTTTGTCTTCTACTCATTGACTTCTCCCAGCCTTAGCTTAATAGTGAACATGGATTTTCCTATGCCTCCATCTTCCTCCCTGCTTTGAGATGGTGGAAAGGAAGAGAAGGAACAGGGGAATAGAAGACTATAGTATATTAAGGATAGGACAGCCAGGAAAAGGAACCTGAGGGAGGGTGGTCTAAGGGTCCCCTTTTCTTTAGTCCTTGTAAGTTAGGGGAGCAGCCAGCAGGAACAGCCTGTTCTCTAGCTTTTGTTGACAGAATCTGTTAACTAAACCCCTCCTCTTTCCCACCTGGGGTCTGTTATTATGGAATACCCCCACAATTTCTTCCTCTCCCATTCCCCTATAAATAGGGGCTCTAGACAGTTATCTCCCTAAGAAGACCTCTGCCTAAGAGCCAACACCCCAGGAAACTCCATGCCCCCAGAATCATTCTACGTCTTTGTGACAGATGGGCACCAACTTGCCAATTCTGGAAATAAGCTTTCTCTGTCTCACCCACCTCCAGGACACCCTTAGGCCAAGGAGAGTTGGTACCAGCAGATAACAATGTGAAGGAAACTCTCCAAGCTCTCTTGGCACTGCCTCACTGCTTGGCAGACCTCTGAGAGTTGGGGAGGAAAAAAGGGAGAGCAGGGGAAACTGTGGCACAGATGGTTGATGAAATCAAGAATATAGGTATTTCTACCAGGAATCTTTACTTTTCAGAAAGGGGATTGGTTATTGGGATCCTGAGGAGAGGAATGTTAAGAGGAGAGTGTGTGGAGGAGGTAGGGATGGGGGGTAGGTAGATTTGGTAGACTTGAGGGAACAAGGGACTGGGAAAGACAGACAGTTGGGAAATTATCAAGTAATTACCCTGATAAGTACTAAGGAGGCCAGTTAAGTCCCCCACAATAATTTCTTCTGCTTTCTCTGTTCCTCTGGTCTCTGATTTCCCTTCATCCCAACTAGGGACAAAAGACAGGTAAGGGTATTTGGGGAAGGACTGTGGGAAAAGACTTAACAAGAAGACTCAGCACAGGATAGGCAAGAGGCTGACCTTACGTATAAAGCAAGAAGGAGGTTGAGGATGCTTGACCCCTACTCTCCACCAAACCAGATTTTTCTGAGCTTTCTCCCAGTGGGATAAGCATGAATCCCCAAATTCTCTCTTTGATTTCTACTTTCTGTAGGAACTCTCTCCTCTTCCCATCAATGTCTGCCAAGTTCCATTTACATCAAACTTGTTACAATCCCCCCATACATACTTATTAGCTATTAATCATTCCTATCCTCTGAACCTCTAGATTAAAGGTCATACCCTAAGTCTAGAAGAAGGGTGGTGATGATACACTTTGTCTAGGAGAGGGTTGGCCCTTTGCCATCAGAATATGGGGCAATGACATAGAAGAAGGGATAATGTGGCAGAGGGAACAATTCTCAAGACATAGATGTAGGAATAAAGTAAGTGGGCAATTCCGTGGCTCCTTTCTGTGTTTAACTTCCAAGGGCAGGTGGCTGATTTTTCTCTTCCCAATGAAAGGAACGTATTGGGTGAATGGGCACAGAAAATTTTCTAAGGAGTTCTGGTGCTTCAGACAAGGTGAGGCTGCTGTAAGGTTCAAGTTTCACTTTTCAGCACCCTGGATAGTCTCTATCTTTCATGTCCTTTTTGCTCCTGGGGGAAGAGAGGAATTGGTCATAGGTATTCATTTCTTTCTAGGAATGATAGCGATAGGACAGGCACAAATGAAGAGAAACAAAGAAAGTGAAAGTCCCCTCTCAGGGTTGAATGTAGGGAAATCTTGGCTTCTTTTCTTAGAAATTGATCCTTGTGAAGGAGCACAGTGCTATGGACATCTTCCTCTCTGGATCTACAGAAAGGAAGACATAGGTTAGGAGTTAGGGGTGGGGATGGAAGGCAGGCACTTCTGAGGTAAGCTTGGCCTAGTGTTAGCTATTTGTATGTGTGTGTGTGGGCACTTTGCTGGACCTCTCCTTCCCCCATCTGTTGCCAGTTGATTCCTCTCAGTTGGCACCTGGGCAGATTTTCAGGAAGTAGTACTACAGTTAGAGACATCCCGTCTAGAGCTTTGATCTCTCTTTGAAGGAAATAGGTGGATATCTCCCAGGTGTCCTACACCAATAAGTTCTTTGACACTCCTGTGCCATATAATGAACAGAATTTCTATTACTGTCTTCCTGACACCCTTTCCTAGCTTGGGTGGTGAAACTTCCTTAACCAATGTGCTGACTTCTCATTGACCTTTCCCAGACTCCAGATTCTCTGCAGCTGCACCAGATGTTGCCACGTCATTCTTTCTTAATGGGCTTTTCCCTGCTGTGGGTAGAAATTGGCCTTTTCTTCAACACTTAGGCCCTTTCTTCCCTTGGTTCTGTCTAACTCTGGAAGTGAAGGAAGAGAGGGGAAACAGTAACTTCAAAGAAACAGAAGCTTAGGTTCTTTGTGATGAGTGAGTTTTTAAAATAGGATGGGAGGAGGGAGTGAGGTAACAATGAGGTTGAATTAGTAGTAGAAGAGAAGTAGACTGTTGGAAGCACTAATGTAGCTGGACTAAGGCTTTCATGATGACAGCCATCAAGACCCAGTCCTCTCATCATACATAAATATCTCAAGTAATGATGTGGTGGTCCTATCCTTACAGTAGGCATGGCCAGGTGGGGAGTTGGGAGTTGTCCTGGCAGGGGAAAGCTGTCTCTGAGTTCAAGAGAAGAGGGCAGCTAGCTAAAGAGAATCAGGGGTTTCCAAGGAGCTTGTTCGAGGAAGAAGATATTGAAACAAAGACTGAAATAGAGATAGGCTGGAACTGTAGTCTAACCCTGAGGAAAATCTTCCCTTCCCTGATCTTTGAGAGAGAGTTGGTGTGGGAGGAGGGGAAGTGGGAGGAGGAAAGAGGGAACTATAGAGGATGGCTTCTAGTCTGGAACTGGAAATGGGGGAAGGGGAGGCCCCAGAGACAGCTATCCAGAGCTCTTTGCCAGAGGGGGAGGGTCTAAACTCTGAATGCTGACATCCTCATCCCCTAAATATTCTTCCCTTCCACCATGGGCTCCACTCTCTGAGTGGCTGAGGAGCAGGCTCTACGATCCTCAAATATTCTTTAGCCTTGATGGGATTAGGTAGAGAAGGGGTAGTTGAGGCCAGGGACATCTCAGTGAGGGACATGTTGAAGGAATAAGATCAAAGCTTTATAGATAGTGAGGGGAGATTAAAGAAGGGGAGAGGAAAGAGGTAGGAAAGAAAGGACTATAAAGGGGGGGGAGAGGGAGAGAGAGTGGGGAGAAAGAGAGAGAGGGAGAGAAAGAGACAGACAGGGAGGAAGGGAGAGAGGAGGGAGAGAGAGACAGAGAGAGAGAGGAAGAGAGAGGGAGAGAGAGAGGGAGGGAGGAAGGGGGGGAGAGAGAAAGGGAAAGAGAGAGCAAGAGAGCGCACTTCCTGGGATGGAAAGATGGTCACAGTGAGGTATGCGGCAGGGGGTTCAAGGCAAAGGGGCCCCAGTCATCTTTCTTCCTGCTTTGCCAGTTGTTTTGTATAAACACTATTCCCTATGGTGTCAGGAAAATAGAAACACCAGTAGTGAAGAGTAGGGAGCAAGGAGAGAAGGGGAATTTTGGAGAGGGAAGGGCACAAGATAATAATAGTAGCTAGCATGAATATAGTACTTTAAGATTTGCAAAGTGTTTTACAGATATATCATTTGACCCTCAATACAACCCAGCTAGGTAGGTGCTATTATTATTCCCATTTTACAGATGAAGACACAAAGATTAAGTGACCCGCCCTGCATTGACTGGATTAAGAGCTCAGCCCCAGGTCCAGAGCGCTATATATCGCGCCACCTAGCTGCCAAATGCTGTGAAGCCTCAATTTCGGAGAAATGGGGAAGGAGTGGGGACTTCTGCACTCTACTCCTTTCTCTCTGCTTTCTGTTTCCTTGCTCCCAGTGTGGAAGGCCAGTGTCTGAAAATGCAGAGTGCTTCAGGCATATGAGTTGGGCAGCTAGACTCTCGTTTAGGAATAGGTGGGACAGCTTTGTTTCATTGCTCAGTTTCCCCTTTGCTAATTCAGAGTTGGTGTGGTATTCAGAGTTCAGTGTGGGATTTGGCATTCGGACAGCTAGAACTCTCTCCTTGGAATAAATGAGACACCTTTGTTTCATACCTTAGTTTCCCCTTTGCCCATTCAAAGAGGAATGTTGGTGGTTGGGGGTGAACTAAGGGCCCTCTTTTATCTTGTGCCACAATTTCCTATGCAAAACCAGGATGAAGAGTCCTCTCTTTTCACCCACACACCCCTAGCCTTCTCAACTACAGAAGAGAATTCTAGAGCGGGGCAGAAGGCATTAGAATTCAGTGCACCCCTCCACGACCTTCACCCAAACCACATCAGGCAGTGACGTAAGAAATGACATCACAAGGTTTGCTAGTGAAAACGTTCACATTTATTGGTATTTCTTAAGTTCAGAATAACAGAATACTTCATAATAATAATGAAGTAATAATACGTTATATTTTAAAATAAGAGAAAATTTTATTTAAAAATGGTGACTTCCTAGTCAGCATAGTATTGTGTAAGTTGCACCGAGCTTTCTTTGCCTGCTAGAAGATAAGATTTAAGACCATTATGTGAATAGATATTGCCATTATGTGAATAGATGTTGCCGTTATGTGAATAGATATCGAAGACTGATGTAGTTATAGTGAGGTGTAACTTAACAACACACTATGTAAAAAAGCATTTTGTGACCTCCCTATGGTTTTGTACTTTTTTGATCAGGTTACAGGTATCTTTTATTTAGTGAAACAAAACTTCCTTGACAGAATTCTGAACTTAAGGACCTTGTTGTTGTTGTACAGTCTTATCACAAGGTAGGATTCAAGGATGCTAAACTTCAGGTCCCAGACTTTTTTTTATTTTAATAACTGAATTTCGGTAGAATTCATTTCCTTTGTAGTTTCGTGTATTTTATTTTATGCATTTAGAAACATAATTTAAAGTTCAGAGGATCTACTAGCCTGTCAAAGCGGTCCATGCCATGATACAAGAAAAACTCTGAACTTCTGGGACTTGACCATGACGCCAGGAGCCGAGGTACTGCAGGATCGTGCAATGACGTCAGCGTCCTAGGAAAAGAGAATTGAGGGCGGTACCAGGTCGAGCTTCCGCTGGCGACCTCAGTTCCCCAGCGCGTGTAAAACTACAATTCCCAGAAATCAAGCGAGGGTCGTCCAAGCTCAATTCTTCAAATATTTCCATTGGCTCTCGATGGCTGCTGGCGACCAATTAGATGTGAGCTCCTTGGCGGAAGCCAAAATGGCCGTGCTTCCGGGCTAGAGAAGTGACTTCCGCCGGGTGTGAGTCTGTTGTGGCTGAGGTTCTTCGACCAAAGACAGCAGTTGGGAAGAGGGGCTGGAGAAAAAAGGGAAGCTGGGATGGCGAGAACGTGTGGGGAGAAAGTCAGGGGACCCCTGCACTGAGGGGCTGCTGCTGACAGCCAGAGCCGGCTTAACACCTTGCTGCCTGGTCAGTCCCAGTTTCAGAGCTGCCCCATTCTGGCGCTGGCTGCTGGACGAGAAGCGGGAAGAGCCCGTGGGTGACCCCACCCCCGAAACTAGGCGAGCCTCGTCTCCCGGGTTTTGACTCGGCTTCCCTTGTCCCCACCGCCTTAGCGTGGAGCCATGAAGGTTGTGAATCTCAAGCAGGCCATCCTGCAGGCGTGGAAGGAGCGATGGAGCGATTATCAGTGGGCTATCAACATGAAGAAGTTCTTCCCCAAGGGAGCCACTTGGGACATCCTCAATCTGGCAGGTCTGCAGGAAGGGAGGGAGAGGACGGCTGTCCAGAGCGGGGAAAGGAGGGGGCCCCAAATCAGCCCTATTGCTTTTGTGTTCCCCTTGTAGAAGCCCTGCTGGAGCAAGCCATGATCGGACCGTCCCCCAACCCTCTTATTCTGTCGTACCTGAAGTACGCCATCAGCTCCCAGGTATGCTATCTCTTACTCTCTAGAACCAGAGGTGTCTTGTTCCATGTCCACCAAACAGGAAGTCCCCTTGAAGCTGCTGGTGATGGATGTAAAAGGAAAGCATTTATGAAGTAGGGGATAACAACAGTATCTGAATCACCCAATAAGGGCCTGTTCAGAGAGAAACACAGGCAAGTGGGACAGCTTTGGAACTAACAGGCTGAAGTTGTGTTCTTTAGAAAAGCAAGCTGAAGTTACGGGGATTTATAGTTCCATAATCCTCTTTCACTGTTCTTTGCTTATGAAAACATTCGCATTTATTTGTATTTGTTAAGTTCCGAATAACAGAATACTTCATAATAATAATAATGAAGTAATAATATGTTATATTTTGAAATAAGAGAAAATTTTATTTAAAAAAGGTGGTGACTTTCTAGTCAGCACAGTATTGTGCGAGTTGCACAGAGCTTTCTTTGCCTGCTGGGAGATAAGATTTAGACATTTGCCATTATGTGAATAGATATTGAAGACTGAAGTAGTTATAGTGAAACGTAACTTAACAACACACTATGTAAAAAAGCATTTTATGACCTCTCTATGGTTTTGTACTTTTTCGATCTGGTTACAGGTATCTTTTACTTAATGAAACAAAACTCCCTTGACGGAATTCTGAACTTAAGGACCTTGTTGTCGTTCAGTCTTGTCTAACTCTTTGTGACCTCATTTTGGATTTTCTTGGCAGAGATATAGGAGTGGTTTACCATTTCCTTCTCCAGCTCATTTTACTGATGAGGAAACTGAGGTAAATGGGGTTAAGAGACTTGCCTGGAGTCTAGTAAGTGTGTGAGGCTGGATTTGAACTCAGGTCTTCCTGACTCCAGGCCTGACACTCTATCCACTGCACCAACTAGCTACTCAAGTAACTTAAGAGATTAGTGAATTGTTATTTATTCACTTGAAGGAAATGGTAGCCAGAGAACTTAGTAAAATTTAGGGATCCTCTTTATCATTGAGTCCTTGCCTCCATCATTGGCAAGAGTACCACACTCTTTTTATAGTATGTGTTATTCTTTAGTTTGTTAGCTAAACTTCTACAAGTTAATATCCAACAAAGACCAGTACATTCCTTTTAATGTGAACGTAGACCTACATAAGTCATAAGGAGCAGGATATTCATTTTACATAGACTGCTTACTAATTTGCTAATCATTACATTCTTGACCATGAGTAGTGCTTGGTTATTGTATTTTAATTTTTTATATATTTGGATCCTCTAGTACAGGCTTATTCTGTTGTGTTATGTAGGTAATCCTGGATTCTTGAGGGTTATGTCAGTGGAGGACTAACTCTGATAGGTCTTTCAAACTGAGAAGACTTCAGAGATGGGCTTGGTTAAATTAGAGAAGGGCTGTAATCTTCATTGGTGGAAAAGATATCCACACCAACAAAATTACAAGTCTTTAAATTGTATTTTTTCCACTATATTTTTTTTATGGTCAGAAGATAAAAATGTTTAAGAAGGTACAATATTGATATAAATGTTAAGAGTAATAGCAGCAGTCCGATTTTATTAGTTACTTCCCTTTCAATATATAATTTTAAAATATTTATTGGATTTGGGGCAGCTAGGTGGACAGTGGATATAGCACCAGCCGTGGAGTCTGGAGGAACTCGGTTCAAATCTGGCCTCAGACACTTCTTAGCTGTGTGATCCTGGGCAACTCACTTAACCCCAATTGCCCCCCCACACACACACACACTCACACACAAAAGATTTATTGTATTTTTAAGTGCATTCATTTAAAAGAAATTTTCTTTGTTAGTAGACTTTCCTGGAATGCATGTATTCCAGAGAATGTGTCCTTAAAAGCAAATCAAGTTGTACAGTAGCTAAAGTACTAGTTCAGCAAACTCATTACCTCATTTCCTTCATTGATAAAATGAGGAGCTTGAACCAACTACCTTTAAGGTCCTTTTTGACTTTATCATTCCATAAATCATTTACTACAAAAAATGTTTTTCTTTAGTCCTTGTTCATAAAGGTCATTCTCTGTGATTGAAGTTATATTTTTCTTTCCAGCCCATCCTCAGTTGATTGACCATTGCATATAATTGATAAATGAGTTATAATATAAACAAAGGACCTTAGAAGACTCGTCAGCTATTTCTTTAGTTGTACCATTGACACCCATTCACATTTTTGTCAAAGAAGGGATGAGGGAATTGCATGTTTCTACCACTCTTAGAATGATTTGGGGAATATTTCTTGGAAGAATGAGATTTCCGGGATATGCCTTGTTCCCAAGTCTACCTCTTCAGATCAGAAACATTGACTTAACACACCATTTGAGCTGGCAGTTATTCTTCCTCGACCCAGGTCTACTCTGTTTCTCTTTCCTATGTGCTTCTCTCCCTTAGATGGTGTCTTACTCGACAGTACTCACGGCCATCAGCAAGGTATGTTCTTAACCCCTTTTCCATTATAATCTGGTAAGGTGTAGGAGGTGTTGTAAGATTTCAGTGATAGAGTCCCTTACAGCTTTTTGCTTTTTCTGATCAGATAATCCTTGAGACATTGTTTTCACCTGCCAGAAATACAGGGCACATTGTGGTGTCAACAGGAACTGCCCACTAAGTGAGAGTTTCTGGTGCTGAAGGACTACTCATGAACCCAAAATAAGATAGAAAGCATTTGAGAAGTGGTGCTTGGGTGCTCTTTCTGTACCGTCCAGTTCAATAAAGACATAAGCTGCCTGTGTGATAAGCACAGAGGAAATCATGAAAAAAGCTTCTGACCTCGAAGCATAAATTCTGCTGGGGTTGGCAGCAGGAAATGATATGTGCAAAGTTAAGCATAATACAAGGTAAGCAGTAAAGTGGGCAAAGGAGAGAGGAAAGTGCCCTAAGAATGTTTAAGCAGAGAGAGAGGAGTAATATGGTGTCATCATCTCATCAAAGTTATGAAATTGGAAAAGTTGAGATGAGGAGTGCAATCCAGGTGTGGGTAGTGACTTGAAAAAATGCAAAGAAGTGGGGGTTAGCTTGACCAGGTCAGGAATAACTAATAGTTGAGTTGATTAGAATAGAGGATGTATATGGAGGGGCAAATAATGCAAAATAAGGTAGAAACTAAATTGTAGAGGGCTTTAAATTCCAGGGTAAGGATATTGCAATTTGTTCTTTGAGCAGTAGGGAACTGGGGGAAGAGTGGGGAAGGAAATAAGCATTTATAATCTCATTTGGTACTGAACTATTGGTGTTTTTTGAGCAAGGGGGTGTCAGAGTCAGGCTTGCTTGTGCCTTAAAGGGATTATTTTCACAGCTGTATGAATGACGTATTTGAGGAAGGAGAGAATGGAGAGAAAACAACCAATTACCAGTTAGGGGGATATAACAATTATCCTTATGAGAGTTGATAAGAGCCAGAACCAGTGTGGTGGCAGTGTGAGGTAGAGACACTGATGGATGGGAGAGTTGTTATAGAATTAGAATCAATAAAACTTGGCAGTTATTTGAAAATAGAGGATAAGGGGGAAAGGAAGAGTTAGAAGCATGACTGAAAGGTTTCAGACTTGGATGATTGGGAAGATGGTGGGACCTTCAACAGATACTGGGATGTTTGGAGGAGAAGTGCATTTAACTGGGGAGAGAATGAGTTCAATTTTGGACAAGTTGAATTTCAAGTGCCGGTGAGTCATCTGAGTCAAAATGTCCAGCAGAAAATTGGCAATATACTACTGTAATTCAGGGGAAAGCTTAGATCAGGTTATATAGATTTGGGAGTCATCCTCACAGAAGTGATAATTGAACCCAACAGAGATCACCAGGAGAGAGTGGGTAGAGTCCCATGAACCGGAAGAAGGAGATGGGTTGGCCTTGAACATCATCTTCTCTGTTATTCTTACAGTTTGATGATTTTTCCCGTGACCTCTGTATCCAGGCCCTGTTGGATATCATGGACATGTTTTGTGACCGACTAAGGTAGCTTCATTGCTTCTTTTCCTTGCAGAGCACATAGGGATTGGCTTTTAATTTGGGAAATAAACTTAGAATGGGCTGAGAGTAGTTGGGAGGGCTACTTATGCCTTGTACCTTATTGTACTCTTGTTCTTGGCCCCTGTGATTTTAGTTCCCAGAGGAAGAATTCTGAAGGTTTCCAAGGCAGAGTGAGGAAAGAAGTCATGTTGGGGCTGGTCAGAATTAGTACAGGGGTTCTTAACTTGGGGTCATGAACTTTAAAAAAAAATTTTTGATATCTGTATTTAACATAATTGGCTTCCTTTATTATTCTACTTTCTTTTAAATGCATTTAAAAACTTTTTTCTGACAAGGGGTCCATAGGCTTTACCAGCCTGCCTGTGTGGTTCAGGACAAAAAAAAGGTTAAGAACCGTTGTTGTAGTGAGTGGGGTAGAGGGAGGCCATGTGATTGGACTTGAAAGGAGACTCAGAGCCAGGTGGGCTATATTCCTTTTTCTACAGTTGTCATGGCAAGGCAGAGGAGTGCATAGGTCTGTGCCGTGCCCTCCTCAGTGCCCTTCATTGGCTGCTTCGATGCACAACTGCCTCAGCAGAGCGACTTCGGGAGGGCCTTGAGATGGGGGCCACAACAGGGGAGAAACAACTCACCATGTGTCTTCAGCAACTTAAGAAGATCCTCAGCAGCACCAAGAATCGAGCCCTGTTACATATTGCCAAACTGGAGGAAGTCTGTATGTTGTCCTTGCCTCCTAATTCTCATTCACCACCATTTCCATGTGTAGTGTGTGATTTCAAAGGAGGTGAAGCAGGGTGCTGTTACCCTTTTCATTGGGTTGTGAAACTATCCCATATCCTCTTTGTTTCTGTCCCTGTAAATACTGATCGTGTTTTGGGAATTTTGACTGTAGTACCACCCTTCCCATTATACATTTACAGATTTAAGTGTTTGAAGGGATCTCACAGGTCATCTAACCTAGCCTTATCCCACAGTATTCATCCTGTTTTCCCTATCAGTCAACCAAGAGGTTTTTAGTGAGTAACTACCACATGCCTTGTAATGTGCTCAGTATTACTGGGGATACAAAATAGGTATAAGGTATACATACTCCTGTGCCAGTTTACTTGCTACCCAGTTCCAGGTTGTAGATCCAGAGCAGACTGACAAATCCCAGTCCCTGAGGATGGCATTCTTGGGTAGGAAAGTCCTGGGCAGTATACTGAGAAAGGTAGGATAGGTGTAGCTCGGACCCCATGGGGCAGAGCTAGGTCTCAGTTCCAGCTTCTATCTCAGTTGGAAACCTTCAGAGAAATAATGAGGGCAGAAATCCCAGACCAAAGACAAACCAACAGTTTCACTGTGAGCCAGCAAATCATTCTAGCTGGCAGATAATAGCTGAGACAAGCAGCATTATATTATTGCTCAGACCCAAATACAGGTCAGGAACTTGCAGAGCTCAGACTGGGGGAACTAGGAAAAAAAGAAGAAAAGGTAAGGTATCTCGCAGCAAAAACAACTGACCTGGAAAATAGATTGAGGAGAAAAAAGTTAATCATCGAACTGCCTGAATGCTGTGGCCAAACAAAAAGCCTAGACATATTTCAAGAAACCTTAAAAGAAAGCTGTCCGCACCTTTTAGGATCAGAGGGCAAAATGGAAACAGAAAGAATCTACTGGTTGTCTCCTGAAAGAAACCCTAAAATGAAAATTCCCAGGAACATTATAGCCAAAATCCAGAGCTTCTAGGTCAAAGAAAAAAAAACACTGCAAGCAGTCAGAAAAAAGAATTTAAGTACCACAGAGTCATAGTCAGAATCACACATAATATAGCAACCATCACCATGAAGGAGTAGAGAGATTGAAATAAGAGATTCCAGAAGGCAAAGGATATAGCTTTATAGCCAAAAATAACTTACCCAGAAAAACTGAGTATAATTCTACAAGGAAAAAAATGAGAGGGGAAGAAGGATACATGGGGGGAGAGAAGGGAAAGGAAGGTTAGAGAAAATTATTTTATGCAATCTGGGTTAGCAAGTACACATATATGCTTGCTGAAGGCATGGGAGGAGGCAGCTGACACTTCAACCTCACTGTCATCTGAACTGGTCAAAGGAGAGAAGACTGCACACACAGACACACACACAGTTGGGTATAGAAATATATTTCACTTAGGGAAATCAGAAAGAAAGGGTAGAAAGAGGGCAGATAAAGGGAGAAATAATCCTAAGCAAAACAAACTCTAGGGATGCCCAATAATATTATAGCTCTTTTTGAGGTGGCAAAAATTGGGAATCTGAGGGAGTGCCTATATGTTGGAGAAAGGCTGAACAAGTTATGGTGAAGACAAACAACTCTGAAAAAATTAAGCTTGTTAATAATGACCAACCATGATTTCAGAGGACTAGTAATGAAACATGCTACCTATTCCTGATAGAGAGGTAAAGGACTCGGAATACAGAATGAGATAAATAATTTTTTGGACATAGCCAATGAGAAAATCTGTTTTGCTTGACTATATATGTTTGTAATGGGTTTTGTTCCGAATTAGTGGTAGGTAGACAGAAAGTTGAGAAGGCATATTTTAACTGATTTTAAAAATGTGTAATTTAAAAAATAATATACTTTCACTATCTGGAAATGCTGTTCTTCCTTTGCCCTAACTCTTTTCATTATTCTCCTTGCTATTCTAGATCTTTTATTTTGGCTAATGAGTTTTGTTATTATTTTATCAAGTTCTGTAAAATTTCCCTTTAATGATTTGATTAGCATAACATTAAAGGTGTAAATTTAAAAAAAAAAGCTATACATACTCCTGTAATCAGGAGCTCTCTTCTTCTAACTGGGGAGACAAGGCAGTTGTTATATAGATGAGAAAATTAATACAAAACAGCAAACAGGAAGAACTTGCTTGGTAGCCTGGTCTTCATTATTTTGTTAGTTTGTCATTGGAAATAATCCTTGACATGTATACTTGTCCCAAATGTCCTTTTAAGTGTTCATAGTGGCATGCTTTTATGTGTCATATGCTTATTTACTTATATTATCTTATGTGATACCAGAACCTTCAGAGGCAGAAAAGAAAAACTTCATCCATGGAAGCAGACTGAGTCCCTGGAGGTGAAAAGACACTTAAGTGCCCAGATTTTAACTGACTAGATGTTAACTGTAGAGAAGGGCAGCCTTGAGTTTGGTTTCCTAGATAAGACTAATTAAGAAAACTTTTATGTTCCATGTTAGAAGTTCAGAAAGATGACTACTAGATAAAAACGAGTTAGGGTCTTAACTCGATCTCATAGCTTATATTTTGTTGTCCTTGTAACATTTGGAAGTCTATCAGTTATATGGTCCTATCCACTATTTGACTCTCAGGAATTCCATGACGAATACCAGCAATTTCATTGATCCTAATACTAAATGAACTCACATTTGTGTAGTGTATTTACATTTGCAAATTGCTTTTTCTCACAGAACTGTGTAAATTATTTAGTGCAAGTATTATTATCTTTGTTTTACAGGTGAAGCAGTTTTGACTCAAATAGTTTCAATGAGTTGCCCAAATTACATACCTAGGAAGTATTAGAGCTCTCATGAGATTGAAAGATGCATCTCTTTTTAAAAATGTAATTAAATATTAAGTGTAATGATCCAGCTTCATGCACTTATTGGGGCAGGCAGGTGGTACAGTGGATAGAGCGCCAGCCTTGGAGTCAGGAGGACCGGAGTTCGAATCTGGCCTCACACACTTGACGCTGTCTGTGTGGCCCTGGGCAAGTCACTTAACCCCAATAGCCTCACCAAAAAAAAAGCCACCCCCCCAAAAAAAAAAGAAATGCAGAAGTTTAGAGAAGAACCAGAAAGATGAGTCTGGGCTAGAATAATTTGGGAAAGGATTTGAACAAAGAGTTGAAGGATAGATAGGATTTGGGTAGTTGGAGATGAAAACAAATGGCATTCTGGAGAGAAAAGCAAATATAAAGGCATAGAAACTGAGGGAGAGTGAGGAGAGCAGCTTGATTAGAACAGAAGATTCAAGGCCACCCTGTGGGTTGGCTCCAGAGGCAGAAATACTTTGTGGGACATCCTTTCTGTACTAACTGCCATCAATTCTCCACTTTTTTTTCCTGCTGTTTTTGATAATGTCACACCCAGTCCTCAGATCCAGCAGCTATATATACTTTTAAACATTGTCTTGTAAGCTAGTTGTCACAGTAGATAGAATGTTGGGCCTGGAGTCAGGAAGATGAATCTTCCTGAGTTCAAATCTGACCTCAGACACTTACTAGATGTATGACTCTGGACAAGTCACTTAACTCCGTTTGCCTGAGTTTCCTTATCTGTAAAATGAGCTGGAGAAGAAAAAGGCATTGGGGCAGCTAGGTGACGGAGTGGATAGAGCTCCAGCCTTGGAGTCAGGAGGACCTGAGTTCAAATCTGGCCTCAGACATTTGACACTAGTTGTGTGACCCTGGGCAAGTCACTTATCCCCGATTGCCTCACCAAAAAAAAAGAAGAAGAAGAAAATGGCAAACCACTCCAGTATCTGCCAAAAAAGTCCCAAATGGGGTCAGGAATAGTTGGACATGACTGAAACGATTGGACAATAACAACAGAGCCTTATCTCTGTTAATTTTATTTTATAGATTTAGCCTAACTGTTCAACCTATTGAAATCTTTCTGGATCTTGGCTTGTTATGACTTATGTTTATTTTTAACATTAATTTTTTTTTAACTTTTTCTTTTTAGAGGCAGTTGGGTTTAAGTGATTTGCCCAGAGTCACAGAGCTAGTAAGTGTCTGAGGCTGTCTATGAACTCAGGTCCTCCTGATTCCAGGGCCAGTGCTCTATCCACTGTGCTACCTAGTTGCCTCTAACACTAGTTTTTTTTTTAAATTTCAGTTCCAAATTCTCTCTTTCCTTTCTGCCTGTCTCCTACCTATTATATTGAGAAGGCAAGCATTGTATCAACTTTACATGTGAAATCATGCAAAACATATTTCCATATCAGCCATGACAAAAAAATAAAAAGCAAGAAACAAAGAAAGTAAAAAAAGTGTGCTTCAGTGTACACTCAGAATTCATCGTTTCTCTGGAGGTGCATAGCATTTTTCATTAAGAGTCTTTTGGCATTGTCTTGGATCATTATCTTGACCAGAATAGCTAAATCCTTCATGGTTGGTCATCGTTTCAGTATTACTGTTACTATGTACAGTGTTCTCTTGGTCCTGCTCACCTCACTTTACATCAGTTCATATAAGTCTTCCCAGGTTTTTCTGAAACCATCTTGCTGGACATGCTTATAGAATAATAGGATTCCATCCCAATTATATATCACAGCTTGTTTAGCCATTCTCTAATCAATGGGTATCCATTTAGTTTGCAGTTCTTTGCCACCACCAAAAGAGCTGCTATTAATATTTTTGTACATACAGGTCCTGTTCCCTTTTCTTTGATCTCTTTGGGATACAGAGCTAGTAGTGGTATCAGCAGTATAAACTCTCATGATGCCAGAGGCCTTGGAAAACTTTCTGGGAATTTCAGCCACTGTTGTTCCTACTCTGTTTAGAAAAGGGCAAAAAGTGCATGCTACCACTTAGGTCCCTGGGTACATACCCTGTTGTTCTCTGAGAGTACTAATATTGTGTGTTGTTGCCTTTAAAGAGGCCAGTATTTCTCATCTCATCCTGTCTTTCTCCAACAGCCTCCTGGACAGCCATTGAGCAGTCACTATTGAAGCTTGTGGAGACCTTTGCCAGCCTTAGCAACTCCCATCTCCAGAGTCAAGCCGAAGAGTGTGGAGCACTCATTAGAAGGTACCAGTCTTTTAAATTCTTTATCATAAGGGGTGGTTCTTTGGGAGTGACAGGGTAGGTAGAGGAATACATTGGGAAATGTATGGGATGTCAAAACAAAAGGTATCAGTAAAATGTCTGAGGTTTTTTTTTTAATTAAAAAAACAAAAAAGGAGGATGTGCCAGGCAGTCCGGTGAGCCTGTTGGGGAAAAAACAGAGTTTCATGAGCCCAGATATCTCCTAGAGGTCTGCACTCTTCTCTGTTCTGTGCTTTTCACTCTCTTGCCCAAATTTAGTCTTTTTGTCTTCCTTTCAGCATCCCCATCATGCTGTCTATGCACTCAGAGCAGCTGCACAAGACTGGGTTCCCCACAGTGCATGCTGTGGTCCTCCTGGAGGGCACCATGAATCTGACAGGAGAGATGCAGCCATTGGTTGAACAGCTGATGATGGTGAAGAGGATGCAGGTGTGGGGACAGTGTGTACCTTCATCCCTAGGGCAGCCAAGCCAGCTAGAAATCAGAGCATTGAGCTGCATTTGTCAGGCACTGGGAGAAGAAGCCTCTGGACAGTTACTGAGAGAGCTCAGTGGTTGAGGACTCCCATTCTAATACAGTTTGAGGTCACCCCTTAATCTCTTAGTTCTTAGAATAAAGATTAAGGAAGGGCTTTTCCATTCTGGCACTAGTCAGAAAGACTGAGTTTGAAATCTTACTAGCTGTTTGACTTTGGGCCAATGGCCTTCAGTTTCTTTAGCTATAGGATGAAGGTACTAAAATTAATTACCTCATGGGGTTGTTGTGAAGTAAGTGCCTTGGAAACTTTAAAACACTAATGTAATTATGAGGACATAGTGATTAGAGGGCTGAGCTCCACGTGAGGAAGACGTGGGTTCAAGGTCTCCTTGGGACACATGCTGACTCTGTGATCCAGGGCAAGTCATGTCACCTCACAGGGCCCTAGACAACTCCCTCTGGCTGGGATTGCAGTGCTTGTGCTGATTTGTACTAGTAGAGGAGGGTTCCCCATCAGGAGTTCTTGTTTGTTGTCTACCTACCCCAAATGTACATTATTGTTTTTGTTTTCTACTTTAGCGTATTCCCACCCCTCTCTTTGTCCTTGAGATCTGGAAAGCTTGTTTTGTGGGTCTCATTGAATCCCCTGAGGGCACTGAGGAGCTCAAGTGGACAGCCTTCACTTTCCTCAAGGTACTGGGGGAAGGATTGGGAGTAAGAAGCCATGTTGCAACCCAAATGATCTCCTTGTGCTATTAGCCTCTGCCACGTTCCTATTCATAGTTCCTGAGCTTTAAGTTAGTTAAATTGAGCTCCATGGCTGACCCCTTTGTTCTTTACTATTGAGATTCTATTCAGTTCAATAGTTGCCACATCATAGTGCAGGAATGTGGGGTGGGAGCCAGAACATGGACACACATGGGATTGCCCATACCTCTCTGGGGTCATACTCATTGCTAACTCCACTTCTGTGATAGTGTACCCTAAGCCATGGTCCCTTGAAACTGGGAGCTGAGCTAGCCCAGGGTGCTTTGACAAACACTGGACTCTTTGTGGTCTGGCATCTGTGAATTCTTGTCTCTTACTGGAATAGGTATGTTGCAGTTTGCACGTGGGATGGGGCTTCTTTTCCTGGGCCAGATGGAAGAAAGAAGACATTGATTCCCCCTGGCCTTCTTCTTCTTCTTCTTCTTCTTCTTCTTCTTCTTCTTCTTCTTCCCCCCTCTAGATTCCTCAGGTTTTGGTGAAACTGAAGAAATACCCTCAGGGGGACAAGGTAAGTTGCCCCAGATTGGAGAGGGTGCATATTCAGTATTGTGGTATAAAGTGCTACCTTAGGAGGACAGGGCGAAGAGAGGAAACATTTATGGCCTAACAGGGAAACTGGCTACCAGTGAGAAGAAGGAAATTTATGGTCATATCCTGAGGCCGGGCTACTAGGAACTCTTCAGGGAGTTGAATTGTTTGAGTGCCTCTAGATCAGGAACTTATGTATTGAAAGTATTTTAATAACTCAGTATAACTGGTTTCTTTTGTAATCCTATGGATTTTACTTGTTATATTTAAAAGCCTCATCCCCAAGTAAACACACATGTACAGACACACATCATCATCATCATCATCATCATCCTACTAGCAGAATAGGCAAGATGCCACTTCTCCTTCCATCACAACATTGGGCACACCCAGCCAGTTGGCCTGGGCCACAGGCCTAGCAGAATAACACCTGTGCCCAGCATTGCCATGTGTGACTAGAAAGGGAAAAGGCAGCATGGAGCCCAGATTGGGGTTTCTGGCTCTTTGTAGGACTTCACTGAGGATGTCAGTTGTGCCTTTGAGTTCCTGCTGAAGCTCACACCCTTGCTAGACAAGGCTGACCATCGGTGCAAGTGAGTTCTCCCAGGGCCTCTGTTTGGCTGATGTACCCAAGAGAAGCCATTCTGTTTCTAGGGCTCCCTGCGCCTACTTTTAGAATGTTATACATCAGGATGTCTCATCTCCTGATCCCCTTAGATACCTCCTTCCTTGAGAAAGAGTGGGAGGAAAGACCTTGGTTTGACAGAACTCCCCAGGAGTTGGGTAGATGTGTTCCAGGTGGGGCAGGCAAACCTGCAGCCTGCCCACAGTCTAGTGCTTCCTTGCTGTCCTTTCTCAGACCCCTAGAGAAGCTTCTAGAAGTCTCTGCTTCTAGAATTGGAGCAGGTCTGAAGAAGCCAGATGCCCTCTGCTCTGAAGGCTCCCCTGTGTGTCTATTCAGACATTCTCCCTCCCTCCCCCTCTTCTCTCTCCCAGCTGTGACTGTATCAACATGCTACTCCAGGAGTGTAGTAAACAAGGACTGCTCTCTGAGGTGAACAAAGAGAGCCTGATGGCCAAGCGGTGAGTGTATGTGTAGTTGGGCCAACCCTGGCTGCTGTCCCTTCCACTCCCTGTGCCTGTTGACCCAGATGGGGCCTCTTTGCCTAGTGTTTGAGTTTGTGACTGTGGCTGGGTTATTGAGTCTGAGGGAAGGGCCAAATGCATGTGCTGTATGCTTGGGGTCTAGGTGCTCCTTATCCCTTAGACTCAGCCATTTCTCTGTACCTCAGGAGATCAGGAATTGACTTTGACTCTTACTTCTCCCCATTCCCATCCACTCCACAGTGTAGCTGACCGAGACCAATCCCCTTGGTTGAAATCAGCTGAAAATGCCAACATCCAGCCCAATCCAGGGCTGATTCTTCGAGCAGAGCCCACAGTCACTAACATTCTCAAGGTGTGTCCTCACCTCAGTCCTACTTGAGGTCTCTTCTCCCTGAACTTATCTTCCTCCTGTCTATAAGCTTCTTTCTTTTTCTCTTCTCACTTTTACACAGTTACCATGATACTAGAGTGTTTTAGTTTGCCACTGTCATGTACCTTAACAGCCCCTTCTCCCATTCTGTGTCTGACGACCTGATCTCAGTCTGATCTGTCAGAAGACAAAACTTCAAAAGGACTTCCCAAAGCGGGAAGATGAGAGAATGTTGGTCAATGTCCTGTTTATTTGAAGGTTTTGGAGAGAAAACTATGTGGTTTAGGTTGTAGACAAGAGAGCTTTTGGGATACTGACAATTTCTTAGTAGAGTCCAGCTTCTTGTCCTTATTTCTAGACAATGGATGCAGATCACTCCAAGTCCCCAGAAGGACTGTTGGGGGTTCTTGGCCACATGCTTTCTGGGAAGAGCCTGGATTTGTTGTTAGCTGCTGCTGCCGCCACTGGAAAACTCAAGTCCTTTGCCCGAAAATTCATTAGGTGAGTATTAGAATGCTTGTGCTTTGAAAAGAACAAAGATGGGAAGTTGGAAATAAAAGTCAAATGTCTGGAAGAGACCAGGTATTAAGATTTGGGAAGTGGTGATAGTGGGTAAATCCCTAGAAGTCCCAGAAGTCCTAAGGACAGAAGGTTAGAGCCCCCAGAATAGATGTTCTGGTTGTACTTCCCCCCAGGATACATACAAAGCCCAGAGCTGTGCTCTCTGGATTGAATTATCAGTTTTCCACTTAGATTGTCCCTCACCATCTTCTGTCTCAGTTTTCCTTCTGATGAGAGTGGGAGAGAAGATAGAAGGCAGGCAGGCCAGTGGAAGTGAAGACACTTTAAATATTGGACATAAGGAATGACCAGTCATTGACCAAATACAAGTTAGGAGAGTCTATACTGGAAAGAGCTTTGGACTAGGGAGGCAGGAGACCTAGAAACTTAGAAAGTTCTGATTCTGCTGCTAAGGAGTTCTGTGACCTTGGGCAATTCACTTGACCCTTTTGAGCATAAATTTCCTCACTAGAATAGAGAGACTGGACTAACTGGTATTTGAAGACCTTTACAGCTCATGCCATTCCATTATGCACAGTTTCCTATGAAATCCTGTTCTAGTCATCTCCGGGGGAAGGCAGTTCTTCAAGTGTACTAGAATTTAGTGGACCATCAGCTGGCATTTGATATTTTCAGAGATTGTGGTGATAAAGCTATATTTTAGTATAATGTGATTTATAACCCCAATGCTAGTGACTGACACTAGTTGAGAAGCACAGATTTCCTCCCTCTTCTGCTGTCTCTAGCTGTTCCTGTTGTCTCAGGCCCCTCTTTTGACCCAGCTCCCCTTTTTCACAGCTTGAATGAATTCACGAAGAACATCAGTAATGAAAACTGTAAGTTATTTCCTTGTCCTCTGCACACACACACACACACACACACACACACACACACACACACACACACAGAGTAGTCTTTACCAGATGATGGATGACTAATCAGAGTTGTTTAAGGACCCTGAAAAGGGCAAGTAAGGGCAGGCCAAGGATTCTTCTAAAATTGTGCCTGCCTGTCCTCTTTGTGAACCCAGTTCTGCTGTTTGGGGAGGAGAGGACAGAGGAGGGTCTCAGAACCTTTGGGAAGTCCCCATATTTCAAGGGAGAAATGATGTTCAAAGTGAGTCCCAGGTCTGTGATGGAGCTGCTCTCTTTCCGACCTTCCTTGACTTGAACCCTTCTTGCCTTCAGCCCTGGGCCAGCAAGGCTTCTCCTCGCTTCTGTGTCTACTCCCTACAGCCAAAGCAGCTTCAGTCCGTGCTCTGCTCTTTGACATCTCCTTCCTCATGTTGTGCCATGTGGCCCAGACCTATGGTTCAGAGGTCAGTGAGAGGGGAAGGGCAGCAGGGAGTAGGGTAGAGGATGACAAGGGGTTTGGTGACACGGAAATGGGGAAGAAACCATTTGTGAAGGCCAAAGAAACTTCCTAGATCACCAGATCTCAGGAATCATGACACACTATGCCACTGGTTAAAGGCTGCCCAGATCCTCAGGAGAGGGACAGGGATCCCTTCTTCTTCCCTCTTTCTGCCCTTCAGGCTCATGCAGACTCTTTAGGGACCATATTGACCACAAGATGGCGGCATAGGCCTCATTTTCTTCTTCCCCTAAAACTACCTGGTTCTTGGGTGGGTGGAAGAGAATATCAGCCTTGGCAGGATAAAGGCTGGGGCCCACCCAGGCAGAGGTGGGGTGGCAGTGGTCCTCTGAGGGCTTTTGTCACACTCCCCTATTGTCAGTGTGGTAAAGGGTGCCTGGGGGGCAGATGTTTTATCCCTCTCTTGACTTGTTCATCCATCTAGGTCATTCTGTCAGAATCCAGCACTGTGGGTGAAGTGCCTTTCTTTGAGACCTGGATGCAGACGTGTATGCCTGAGGAGGGCAAGATCCTGAATCCTGACCACCCCTGCTTCCGGCCTGACTCCACCAACGTGGAATCCCTGGTTGCCCTGCTCAACAACACCTCTGAAATGAAGCTAGTGTAGGTGGCCTGGAAGGATGCAAGTGGGGGCAGCAGTCGGGGTCTTTCTCCTTCAGGGCCATGCTCTTGCTCCCATTTTGGTGACCTTCCTCCCACTTCTTCCCAACAGGCAGATGAAGTGGCATGAGGCCTGTCTCAGCATCTCAGCTGCCATCTTGGAGATTCTGAATGCCTGGGAGAATGGAGTCCTGGCTTTTGAGTCCATCCAGGTAGCCATTCCCCCCTGTGCCCAGTAATGCCCTTTGGTCCCAGGATGTGACATCCTCATTTCCCACCCATACCACTCTTTACTCTTCTCTCTTCTCCAAAGTTCCAGGTGCCAGTCATGGATATCACTGCATCTCCTTAGGGTAGAGGGTCTCCCCATCTGTAGAACTGTAAGACCTAGGTGTCTCCTTCTGTAGCCTTGGTCATTTCTGGGTCTCTAGGTCACTTCTCCCTCTCCCTCCCAGCCCTCAGTGTCAGTGTGAGCATCCTGGATTATGGTGGGCCCAGGGCTCATCTTGCTGAGATCTGATGCTTCCCCAGGGGCAGCAGTGTCCAAGGAAAGGGTGTAGGGCAGGGCTTGGGGTTGGGGTTGGTAGCTGCAGCTAACATGTTTCCCATCCCAGAAAATCACAGACAACATCAAGGGAAAGGTGTGCAGCCTGGCAGTGTGTGCTGTTGCTTGGCTTGTGGCCCATGTGCGTATGCTAGGCCTGGACGAACGTGAGAAATCATTGCAGATGATTCGACAGCTGGTAGGGCCTCTCTGCAGTGAGAATACCCTGCAGTTCTACAGTGAGAGGTCTGTAATCTTCCCTTTCCCCTCCAAGCCTTTCCATGCACTTCTGTCTACAGTGCCTTCAATCATCATGATGGCTTTTGGGCTAGAAAAGCAATCATTTCTCTTATGCTGCTTACTCTACATACATATGGGAGGGAACACTTATCTTGGAGATCTGTGGACTGGAGAGGCCTTTTGCCTTGCTTTCCAGCCTTTGATCCTTGGGTCGTTTTCCCTTTTCCTGGGCTTTTTAGGGTCCTGGGGAGCTCACCTTCTTTCAGTCATTCATTCAGTAAATAACTTGTTGAGCACCTCTTATGAGGAAAACAGTTGTTTTGAATGTCTTGTAAAGGGAAGAGATGGTAAAGTTCAGCTAAAATATTTTCACTGTCACTGTAGAGTCCATTGCATTGTGATAACTTCTGCTCTCCTCAGTGGAAAGTTGTCCAGGATGTAAGAATCTTCAGCTTGTGCCTCTGCTCAAGGATTTCCTCCTGCTAAAATTCTACAAGAAAAGGAGGAAATTTAGTGTAGAAATTGAGAGTCTGAGGCTTACATAATGATAGTATTCCAAAGATGATTTACTGTTTTGGGAACAGATTTAGCGCCCAGTTCAAATATAATGGTCTTATTTCTGCCCAGGGGAGCCAGACCCCAGAATAGTTATGAAGGTAGTATCTGCCTATGATCTTGTGTCTGGAAAAATTGTTTTGTTTTGAGTGGTGGCCAAGCCTGGACTAGAGCCTGAAAAATCCAGGGCCCCATTTCCTACCTTACCCCTCAACACTTAGTTCTTGGGATGTGACTTGTATTTATTTAGATGAGGGGTCTGGTAATGCCCAGTGTTAGAGAGAGGCCTGCTGGAATACCTTGAAAGAAGGGGAGATATTTCCCATTTTGATATAGGGTATGTCTCTTTCTTAGGCCATCACTGACCAATGTTAGGAGCTTCCTTTTGTTCATTTCCACTGCAGAATGTGGATTTATTCATCGTGAGTTTTTTTGTACCACAAGCCTTTGGAGAGCAAGGGTTGCTACACTTATTCCTATTGGTGTCTCCCTTTCTTGGCAGGTACCGCATCTGCTCACATTTGCATTTTATATGTCCACAGGGTGGTGATCATGAGCTCAATTCTGGAGCACATGTGCGCAGATGTTCTACAGCAGACAGCCACACAGATCAAATTCCCATCTACCGGCATGGATACAATGCCCTATTGGAACCTCCTGCCCCCCAAAAGACCTATCAAGGAGGTGCTGACAAGCATCTTTGCAGAGGTTCTGGAGAAGGGCTGGGTGGATAGCCGGTCCATCCATGTCTTTGACACCCTGCTGCATATGGGTGGTGTTTACTGGTTCTGCAACAACTTGGTCAAGGTGTGTATTGTGGGTTGGGAATAAGCCAGACAGCTCTGGGGAAGAGAGAAGGCCTTGGTCTCAGTCATCCTTTAAGAAGTCTTTATTAACATCCAGTGTGTCCCAGCCAACCATCACTCTCACCTGTCTGATGCTCTGTTGCTATTCTTCCTCCTGTACAAATTTGTTTTTTATCCTTTATTATTTTATTATTTATTTATTGATGTCTTTGGTTTTTAAATCAAGTTCATTTCCAAACTTTTCCTCCTGTCTCCAGCCTTCTCCATTCAGTAGGGTTAGAACATAGAGAAGAAAGCAAATCAGCACAGTTGAGTCTGACAGTATGTGCAGGATTTCATACCCTACTGCTCCTGGTTCTTCTGGAGCCAAGCAGAACACAGCTGGTGACTTCCACATGATAGTCCTTCGAGTACTCTGAGATGATTCTCATGTTCCCTGGCCTCTAAGTTAGCTCCTCTCTAAGTGGAATGTAAGCTTTTTAAGAATAGAGGTTGTTTCATTCTTTGTCTTTGTACCTTTAGAATGTTGCCTGGCAGATATTAGATGCTTAATAAATGCTGGTCGATTGATTCTCCAAGCTAAGTTCCTTTAACTTAGCCTTATATGACATGAGCTACTTATCATCCTGGTTGCTTTTCTCTGGGATGTTCTCCTAATCATCAGTGTCGTTCCTAAAATATGGTTCCTGGAACTGAACATAGTATCGAAGCTATAGTCAGAGCAGAGCAGAATATAATGATGCTGTCTTCAACTCCCTAGCCCTTCACTATTGTTTGTCTCAATGTAGCCTAAAGTCAAATTAGATTTTTTTTTTTGGCTATCATATTACACTGTTAACTGACATTGAGCTAACAAGCTACCAAATCCCCCAGATCGTTTTTATAGGAATTGCTGTTTAGCCACATCCCGGAAGTTCATTTTTTGTACCTAGTGTAAGAGTTTATATTTTTTCCTGTTAATATCACATTATGAGGTTTACGCAAATCAATATCCTATTAAGAGTTTTTGGAACCCTTACTCTGTCATCTGATAATTCCTCTAATTCATGTCTTTATGAAATTGGATGTGCTTGTTATTTATCTCATTATCAAGATCAATGATAAAAAGGTTAATAGCATCCTGTTGGTGCAGAGGTTACCACAGAATCTCTGAGTTGGAAGGGAATTCAGAGGCCCCCTGGCAAAGCCATACCTAAGTAAGAACCCACTCCCTCTGTCCAATAAGGAGTCAGTCACACTTGGAAGAGTTTCAGTGAGAGGGAAAGAACTAATTCCTTCTAAGTAGACAGTGAGCCAGCCATCCAGGACTATTCTGTGGGTAAGTTCAGCCATTCATCCTGTTGAAATACACTTAATAGTGATTATCTAACCCACATCTCTCTATTTTATCCATGAGAAGAGCATGAGAGACTTTTCACGTGTAAACTGTATCTACAGCCTTCCTCTGAAGTGGAGCTAATAACAACACTTACCTCCCAGGTTGCTGTGAAGATAAAAATAGGCAGTATTTGTGAAGCACCGTGTCTGGTACATAGTAGGCCCTATATAAATGCTGACTGTCATTCATCATCATCACCTACCAGTCTGCTAATCTTGCCAGAAAAGGAAATGTGCTTCAGTCTTACACGACTTGTTCTTGATGAATCTGTGGTGTGACTGTGATCACTGTTTTCTTTTCTAGATGTTCAGTGACCAGTCAATAAACATTTATTAAGTCCCGGGCAGGGTGTTAAGCTCTGGGGAGCTTATGGGAGAGACATCATGCAAACAAATATGTACAAAGCAAGTTATATATAGGAGAAATAGGAAATAACGGAGGGAAGGCCCTAGAACTAAGAGAAGCTTCCTGTAAAAGATGGGATTTTAGTTTGAACTTAAAGGAATCTAGGGAAGTCAGTAGGTGGAGTTGAGGGAGAATATTCTAGGCCTGGGGTTTTGTTCTTTTACGTGCTGTAGTCATATATATTGTTTTCCTCATTAAGCTTAGCCCACTTTCCATCAGGTCATATAAATTCATGGTTCTCTGAATTCATATTTACCATTTCTATAGCACATTAATATTCCATTGTCTTTATAGAATTACAATTTGTTCAGCCATTCCATATTTAATTGACATTTTTCAGGTTTAATTTCTACCACAAAAATGTTGCTATGAATATTTTGGTATATATGGGTTCTGTCTTCGACATCTTTGGGATCTGTTTAGAAGTGGGAATCAACATTTTTGTCATATTTCCGGTATAATTCCAAATTGCTTTTCAGAATAGGATGGACCAATTCACAGCTTCACCAACAATTTATTAGTAGTCCTACCATTTTGCAGCTCATGCTTTCATCATTATGTTTCCCTCTTTTCATCTTTAACAGTTCTCAGGGTGTAACCTGAAACCTCACAGCTGTGAGCCAAAATCCCACAGCTATTTTGATTTGCATGTCTCTTTTCAGTGATTTGGGGACAATCTTTCATATGGTATTAACAATTTACTTTTTTTTTTGACAACTGCTTTGGCCGTTTATCCAGTGGAGTCTTATATAATTGTGTCATTTCTCTGACACAAATATTTGATGGAAAGTGTTTTTTCCCCTAATTTTCCTAATTCCTAAGTTTTTCTTAATTATTCCAATCTTAGCTATCCTGGAAAAGCTTTTTAGTTTCATCTGTAAATGCGTTTTTAAAATCTAAGCTGGTCAGTGAGTTTCCTTAGTGTTTTTACTAGTCTCATTAGACAACTGCCATTTTTTTTTCTTTGTTGAAATTATTTCTTTTTATCTTGTATCCTTTAGAGCTTCCTCTTCCTTCTGGATTGACTTCCTCAGTAGAATTTAGGCCACAGGGTGCTACTTGTCCTTTGTCTGAATCCTTTTAAATCTGCTTTCCCCTACTCTAGGAGGGAGTAGTCATTTCCTGCACTAAAAGTTTCCATCATTTTCATCCCAAACAACAAATTCTTCCCTGTTAGTGAGAATTAAATCCAGAAGACAATTTCCCCTTATAGGTTCCTTCACATCTTATGCATATATAATACTACGCTAGCTTTTTTTTTTTTACTTATTCTTTTTTACTACTGTGCTCTCCTACAAGAATATTCCAATACCACCATATCTCATTAATACCCGTGATGTCAAATTTGTCTTTTTTTTTTAAGGCAGTTGGGGTTAAGTGACTTGCCCAGGGTCACACAGCTAGTAAGTGTCAAGTGTTTGGTCTGAGGCCGGATTTGAACTCGGGTCCTCCTGACTTCAGGGACAGTGCTCTATCCACTGCGCCACCTAGCTGCCCCTCAGATTTGTCTTTTTAAATAGGTTCATGTGTCTTGCTTCCATACCCTTATTGTTTGTCTCTGTTTTTCCAGTGTCACCCTTTTCTGACCTTACTTTTTCCCTTTGTAGTCCTAGCCCTAGAGTCAGGCAGATCAACAGGGCATTGTCCTTGATTCATGAATCTCTTATTTTTCATGTCCTCATGTTAATGAGCTGCCAGTCTTCCATCTGGTGCCACCCTCACCACCTTTATTTCTACCCGTATTCCTAAGCCACTCAACCTTGCTGGAGAAGGTCATATAGGCAGACCAATGAGGCTCACTCCAAATTCTAGTTATCTAACTTTCACTAGCTCCTTAATATTTTGTGGAAATCCTTTTTTTTTTCTTTTTCTTTTAATGATCTCTGGTTGTCTCTCCAAACACACTTCTTATAGCTGCTATTGCTAATTTTCCATCTGCTTAAGTCCCTAACTTCTTCTTTCTCAGTAGGTCACCTTGTCTCCTATTAACAGAGAAAGTTGATGCCATTCATTATAAACTCTCTTATCTCTCTGTTACACACCTCACACCATTTATACTTTTTTTAAAAAAATTTTTAGGCAGTTGGAGTTAAGTGACTTGCCCAGGGTCACATAGCTAGTAAGTATCAAGTGTTTGGTCCAAGGCTGGATTTGAACTCTTGCTCTATCTGCTGTGCCACCTAGCTACCCCTCATTTATACATTTTCTACTTCTTGTCTACAGTCTGAGAATATGAACTGGCCCTTCTTTTGAAGACTAACCCTTCTCTTTCTTCCTTCAATCCCCACTATGTCCTTTGATATCTTTCCCTGTGTCATTCCTTCTCTCATTTTCACTCTCTCTTCTCCTGACTCCTTCCTTTGATTCTGCTTATCCCTAGAGCTATCTTTTGTCCTGTAGCTCTCCCTGTTGTCACTGCTAAACACTAGAATCGAATCTTTATACTTCTTGCCCCCATTTCCTTACCACTGACTTCTCTGTCCTTTGCTATCTGGTTTCATACTTTATTACTATACTGCAGTCACTCTTTCTTGGCCAGTGATTTTTTTTTTCTTTTTGGTGAGGCAGTTGGGGTTAAGTGACTTGCCCAGGGTCACACAGTTAAGTGTCAAGTGTCTAGGTCCGATTTGAACTCAGGTCCTCCTGACTCCAGGGCCGGTGCTCAATCCGCTGTGCCACCTAGCTGTCCCAGAACTCCTCATTCTGTTGTGTACGGTCTGCCTCCGATGACTGTTTCCTGCCCTATTTTTTCTTGGTTGGTTCAGCCAAACAGGAATCCCAGTGCCATCTTCTGACTAGCATTGACTCATCATCTATTTGTAGAACATTTCCACCCTTCAGGGCTCAGCTCAGGTGGTAAAACTTGTGTGAAACTGTCCCAATCTCCTTTTCTGCTCTTGCCCACTTGCATCACTCTTAGGGCTCTTTGCTTTCTCCCATCTTGAGGACGTTTTGATTTTCCCTTTGCCTCTTTTTCTGTGAACCACTTGTAATATATCTCTCAGCTCCTTGAAGTCAGGGACTGCCATTTTTATCTTTGTATCCCTAGCACTTTAAATATAGTAGATGGTTTTTTTTTTAGGCAGTTGGGGTTAAGTGACTTGCCCAGGGTCACACAGCTCGTAAGTGTCAAGTGTTTGGTCTGAGGCCGGATTTGAACTCAGGTCCTCCTGACTTCAGGGCCAGTGCTCTATCCATTGCTCCACCTAGCTGGCCCCTATAGTAGATGTTTTATAAATGTTTGTTGAACTAATTGTAATAAGCATTAATCAAGATTGGTGACTGCCAGGAAAATGCAGCGTTGGAGTTAGTCTGGGAGGAATTCTTGGAGAGTTCAAAGATGTAAAGGAGAAAGAAGGAACTTCGTTGTAGAAGAAGAGGAAATGTACATTTGAAGATGCAGAGGTAGGAAATGCCTAAGGTCGAAGGTCCTATGTTCCTATTTCTGCTTCCTTATTCGTTCTAGGAGCTGCTGAAGGAGACTCGAAAGGAGTATACCCTTCGAGCTGTGGAGCTGCTATACTCCATCTTCTGCCTAGACATGCAGCAAGTCACCCTGATACTGCTGGGCCACATCCTTCCTGGCCTTCTCACAGACTCTTCCAAATGGCATAGCCTCATGGATCCCCCAGGCACAGCCCTGGCCAAGTAAGCTTCCCTACTCCTTCCCATTTCCTGTGGCTTCAGATCAGTCCTGAAAGGAGACCCTGTCCCCTTCATGTCACAGCAGAGGGATTAAAGAATTCAGCCTCATACAACCAATTCTTTGCTGTTGATTTGGGTTGGCTTAGAAGATACAGAGATCCAGGGGTAGCTAGGTGGCACAGTGGATAGAACTCTAGCCTTGGAGTCAGGAGGATCTGAGTTCAAATCTGGCCTCAGACATTTGACACTTACTAGCTGTGTGACTCTGAGCAACTCACTTAACCCTGATTGCCTCACCCCCCCCAAAAAAAAGCAATATGTTTTTCCTTATAACATGACTAATGTGAAAATATGTTTAATAGGAATGTGTATGTATAGCCTATATGAGATTGTATGCCTTCTTGGGGAGGGAGGTGAGGGCAGAGGGGGAGAAAAATTTAAAACTCAAGCTTATGGAAGTGATTGTTGATAACCCAAAATAAATTAATAAAAACTAAGTAAATATATAAAAAAAAGGAAAAAAATCAGAATAACATTGACATTCCAAGGAAAAGCTAACAAATAGAGATCCCAGTGCAAATATGATATAGTTCAGTTAAAAGGCTTGCAGGTGATTCTGTCAGAAAAAAAAAAAAAGAAGATACAGACATCCTTGCCCATTTCCTACTGGACTTCCTCTTCTCTTCTTCCCCCTTACAATTATTTGCCTAGGCTGGCAGTGTGGTGTGCCCTGAGCTCATACTCCTCTCACAAGGGGCAGGCATCTTCCCGACAGAAGAAAAGACATCGTGAGGACATTGAAGTGAGTACTTACAAATAATTATAATAATCAAAGTGATAGATAACAAGTGTGGCCCAAAACTGGTACCCTGGCCTCAGAAGTGACTCCTCCAATTGTTAAAAATGAGTATAAAACTGAAACAGGGACTTAATCTTTCCTCCTCTGGGAGATTCTTCTCATATGAAAGGGAGCAGCTGTTTTCCATGCCCTCATTCCCTCTTTTCAGGAGAGAAGGAAGATGAAAACAGTAGCCAGAAGGATTTCTGAATTTGGAGGGTCAAAAGGCCTTTCAAAGCAGGAGCCTCTTCCTGCCTCAGAGCTGGGTGCTTTCTACTTTCCTGAAGTTGGAGGGCCTCTCTTGGGGTAGGAGTTGGGGAATGGATTTATGGATTGGTCTCCTTTTCAAGGTATTTAGGTTTGAGTGCTATTAACTCTCTTGACCCCATTCCCTAGGACTACATCAGCCTCTTCCCCCTGGATGATACACAGCCATCAAAGCTGATGCGACTTCTGAGTTCCAATGAGGATGATGCCAATGTTCTCTCTAGCCCCAGTGAGTATGTGAGCTTGGCAGGCAGGGGCAGGGGCTGGGCACACTAGAAATAGATAAGCTGTAGCAAACTTTTTTCCAGCTTCCTTTGAGGGCACTTTCATTTTCCTTCAACAAATGTTTAGGATTGGTAAGGTCATAGGATTAAAGTTGAATGGACCTTAAAGACTCTCTAGTTCAGGTCCCTCATTTTACAAATAAGGAAATGAAATGTGTGACCTTTCTCATAATTACACCAGGTAATCAATCAACAAGCATCTTTTAAGCACCTGCTACGCACCAGGCAGTGTGCTAGGTACTGAGACTACAAAGACAAAATTGAGATAGACCCTACCATCATGGAGCTTCATTGTATTAGAGAAGGGTTCCGCGGGTATGGATAAAGAAATTCAAGATATATGCCAAAATAGTGACATGACTTGAGAGTGGGGAGGCCAACAACTAGGGGGATCAGGAAGGGCTTTTTGAAGGAAGTGGCCCTTGGGCTGAGTCTCAGAGGTGAGGAGGAAGACACTACAGAATTGGGGAAAGTGGGGGGAGGGGCACAGGAAGGAAGGTGGGGACAGTTTGGGCAAAGGCCCAAACGTGGGAGGGGGAATGCTGTGTACAGGGAACAGTGGGCCCGCCATGTGGGCTGAAGTGTAGAGAGAAGAAGGGAGAGCAATGTATAAGCAGCTTGGAAACATAGACTGGAGCCATGATGAGAAGGGCTTGAATATCACCAGTGAAAGGACTTTGTATTTTAGCCCAAAGGCAATGGGTAACCGGAAGCTTCTTGAGAAGGCAAGTGACATGGTCACACCTGTGTTTTAGCAATATCAGTTTGGCAACTGTGTAGCAGATGGATTAGAGAAGGGAGAACCTGGAGGCTGATAAGTTAGTGCATATAAAATGTGATGAAACCCTAGACTGGGTGTTTGTGGTATGAGCAGAGATAAGAGGGGGGACTTTGAGAGATGCTGAAGTGGATTCAGTAAGATTTGGTAAGGGTTTGGATATTGAGAGTGAGTGAGAATCAATTGTTGAGCATGACCCTTAGGTTGAAAACTTAGGCTGACCGGTCCTGGGGCTTCTGGGTGGGGACCCAGGCCCAGGAGGCAGCACCGTGATTGGGGAGGAGAAGAAATGTTTCCTCTGCAGCATAGTGTTGGCCAAATTGGTCAATGGAGTTTCCTGAACAGGGCTGATGGGTCCAGTGTATACCGTGCCGTGGTGGTGCTCTTCCATGAATTCTTTGTCTGGGACCAGCTCATGACTCCTCTTTACATAAGGTTAACAGTTTTTTACCAGGCATTCCTGCATCACCCCTTCCTGATGAATAGGTCTGCAGTCTTTCCTCTTGGTCCCTTCTCAGATGTCTGGGGTAGAACGTCAGTTCTTCTTGCAGGTGGTGTTCTCACCTGGGTAGCCATCTTCCTAGTGCTGATCAGCCCTTGGTGGTACTTTCCAGTCATTTCCATGTCAGCAGTCTTTGCAGTTACTGTCATTTTTGCTTTCTTGACCAAGTTTGCCCAGGATCAAGAGTGAAGCACAAGGCCCTGTGGCCTGGTCTTTCCTGGGCTTAGCCTTTGGTACCTCCCTGTCCTGGACTTGCAGTAACATGCTGGTGGTAGTGCTTTTGTTAGAAATGGGCTTTATCCTGCTGGTTGTGTCTGAGTATGCCTGAGGAGATGCAACCTGTGTCTTGAGAAACTCCATTTTTCTGGGAACAAGCAAACTCCTTTGCCCCTCTTCTAAAAGTGGATCAGGACTCCACTGTGCTTCTCATCTACATCACTTTCCTACCTCCTGGAGGCTCACTAGCACTCCATTTTTTCCTCTTCCTAAAAGACAGGATGGTGCTATATTGTGAAGGGCCTTGAATGCCAAGCTAAAAAGTTGGAACTTGATCATTCTTGGTAAGTTTTGCTTCATTTCTAACTGGGGCCATCTGGGCACAGTGGTCTGCAAGGGAGGTCCCTTTTGCCTTCTTCCACTTTATCTTCCTTTTGGAATGAGAGGGGGGTGGCTTTAAGGGGGTTGAGAGCAAAGGAGTGATATCTCTAGCTCTACACGTAAAGGAGATTAACCCAGCATTGATATGAAAGAGGATGTGGATGAGATAGAAAGTAGAGCCATGGGGAACTCTGAAAAACCCAGGGTTGGTAATGAGACTTAAAAAAAAATTATGAACTAATCAAACATCACATAAAGGGAGCATTCCTCTGTGTGTGTATGTGTTTATGTATATGTATGTGCATGCATGTATATTACACATGTGTATACACACACACACACACACACACACACCCTCTGAAGGAGAGGATTGTATCTGAAGCTGCAGATCTTTGTTATGTGATGGCAAGGAGATGCTGAATTACTTTAGTCATTAGGAATAGAGAAGAAAAAGTGTGTACCTGACGGACTGGTGAGGTAGAAGTGGGAAGACACGGTAACTGCTGGCATATGACAGGTTGAAGAGAAGCAAAGATAACCCTAAGGTTTTGAACACAGGAGCCTGGGTTGAAGATGGTGTCACAGAAAGAAGAGCAGCTTTGAGGGAAAATAGGAGACATGGTTGGGTGGGACACAGTGAGTTGGAGGTGATTATGGGTATTCAAAGAGGACTGTTTTAGGTAAAGACGATTGGAAATGCCTCTCTGAAGGTCTGGAGAGAGGAAGAGTTGAGGAGAGATACTCGAGAGTCATGTGCAGAGATGCTAGTTGACTGCTAAGGCAGAGAATGGGGAAAGAAGAGAAAGAGAGGCCAAGGGCAGACTCTGGGAATTCCCCTAGCACTTGAGGCACTGAGAGAACCAGTAGAGGATACATGTGGAGTAGATGGAAAAGAGAGGGTAACCAGGACAGTGAGAAAGCTGGAGAACATGGTGTAGCAGGATCTCATCGAGGGACCTGGAGAACAGAAGACTTCGAGGGGAACTAATAGCTGGCTGTACATATTTGAGGGACTGTCTGTGACAGAAGATGGCTCAGCCTTGTTCTCCCTGGCCCTGGAAGGCAGCTCTAGGAGAAGTCTGTGGAAGGTACAAGAGGCAGATTCTGGTTTGCTCTGAGGCAACATTGCATAACAATAATGGCAATCCAAAACCATTGGATGGAATGGGCAGCTTCCATCAGGAGTGAGCTCCCCATCAGTGGAGGTCTGTAAGCACAGGCTAGCTGATCTCTCATTGGAGGGGTGGGGGGGAGCCAGGAGAGTGTGGTGTCTGAAAGCAGGGGAGAAGGGGTGGGGCAGTGGTGTCAGAGGGTCCTGAAGGAAGCTGGGGACTAAGAAAAGGCCACTAGGTGGAACAATTAGGAGGTCTTTGTGGACCTGAGACAGTGTTCAGTGGAGCAGAAAGTAGGTTTCAGAGCAGATGTCCCCAAAGGAGGTTGTTCTGGTGCCATCCTAGTTCTGGGAGCAGTTTCCCAAGTTCTTGTAAGGAGCTGGGCACAGGGAAAGTGGCCTGATGGCCAGGCTTTGCCTGCTTCTGGTCCCTGAGCTGATTTCTGGCTCTGGATCTGGTATTCTTCCCTCCCTTTCCCACTGACTGGCAGAGAGGCCGGTATGGGGACTTCTTAATCTGAGGATTGCAACTCCTTTCCTCCCACCTTGTGTCCATTCCTGGGAGCCTCATTTGCTCAGCTTCCTTGTCCCTGAGCTCTGTGCCCTGAGAGGAGAAGCAGGCTCCTGTAAGTGAGAGCTGGTGGCCCCCAGAGTTCACTCACCAGGCTGTGCAGCTTCAGTTTTTCTTCATCACACAGGTTATCAGCACAGCATAAATGTTAGTTATTGCAGATAACTGCAGCCTCCTTCGCCTTGTCCCCCTCCAGTACTTGACTGCAGAGGTTTCATTCCTCCCCCCCATCCCATGACGTCTTCAGCACTGATGTCCTTTGGGTGTCCCTTCCTCCCCTCCTCTCTTGTCCACTCTTCCTTTGATTTCATTATCTTCCCATTGTGCAACTGTGGTGCCATTTCCTCATCTCCTCCTTGAGACCTCCTTTCAACACTCAGGCATTTTCCCTCTGTGGTGTTCCTCCTAGGCCAGGAGGCTGTCTTCTTCTCGGGGCTCTTCTGTGAGGAAAGGGGTGTACCTTGCCTTCGGGTCTTCCCTAGGACCTTTAAACAGAGTGGGGTTCATCTCACCAGTCAGCCAGGAAGGGAGGCTGGGGGAGGCCTCGGGGTTGGAGGAGGGCTTCCCTTGGGGGAAAGTATTTTGAGCAAACACTGTAGTCTTCACCTCTGCCTCTTCCTCTTATCCTCTCCAGCTGATAGGTCCATGAGCAGTTCTCTCTCAGCCTCTCAGATGCACACAGTCAATATGAGAGACCCTTTGAACCGAGTCCTTGGTAAGTTCCTTCTCTTCCCTAAGCCTGGCCAGCTGGGCATGAGACTCCCTTCTTCCACCTTCCCTTACCTGGTGGTGGACACACTCTGCTCATCTTCCCCTGAGTACGTCCTGTGGTCCCCTGTACCAAATCATCTCTTCTCTTCTCTCCTCCTCCTGTTTCTTCCTTTTTATCTTCTTTTTTGTCACCGCTCTTGTCATTCTTCCTGCCTCTCATCTGTTCTCCCCCACTCCTGATTTCTCCTTTCCTTTTGCTCTCTGCCTCCTCCTTCCTTGCTGTCTTCCTGCCTCCCTTCCTTTGCACTTTACACTCCCTCTCCATCTCCAGATTTTCCTTCATCCCTTGTGCCCTGACTGACCCTCATGTTCTCTTGTCCCCGCTGCTGCGCAGCAAACCTGTTCCTGCTCATCTCATCGATCTTGGGGGCCAGGACGGCAGGCCCTCACACCCAGTTTGTTCAGTGGTTCATGGAGGAGTGTGTGGACTGCCTGGAGCAGGGCAGCCGAGGCAGCATCCTGCAGTTCATGCCTTTCACCACTGTAAGTTGTGGGGCAGAGTGGAGAGCTGGCAGCTCTGCTCTTTGGTGTTGGGGAGTGAATTTGGGGAGGTGTAGGCAGTATCCTCGAGGAGTACACTCATGGAGGGGATAGGGCTACTTTCTTTTAGGGTGTCCCATTGTTCCACTGCAGGAAAGGGGCGGTAATTGCCTCTATTTCTTTGTGGCAGGTGTCGGAATTGGTCAAAGTGTCAGCCATGTCCAGCCCCAAGGTGGTTCTGGCCATCACGGACCTCAGTCTCCCTCTGGGCCGACGGGTGGCTGCCAAAGCCATCGCTGCACTCTGAGAACGTGGTGGAGGTGAAGTACTTTTCTTTTGGGGGGGGTTACATTTGAGGAATGAAGGAAACTGAGGAACAGAGAGAGCAGAAGGAGAGACTGAGCAGCTTAGAGACCAAGGCACTCTCCTGTGTGATGACTGATTATTGATCAGGGAGGACTTTCTGCAGAAACAGTGTCTCCTTTGAGACACTGTGTGTCCTCTGTCCATCCTTCTCTGTCCCTGGTTCATTTCCCATTCCTCTCCTTGCCACGAATTTCCATTTCTTCTTCTGGTGGCTGCCTTGAGCATCGGTGCTTCTGTGGGCCTCCATTGCCAGATGAATAAAGTCCCATTCCTCAGGGATGGAGTGTGGCTCCTGCTTCTGTGAACGGATCGTCCTCACGCTGCCGCTCCCGGTTCTCCTTGATCAGCTTTCGCTTTGCCACCCACTTTGAATCATCCAGCACCACTGTAGTAGAATAATGACAGTCCCTCCCATCTGTCCTGCATTCTCACCTCCAGTCACAGAAGAAAGTCAGGCAAGCTGAGTTTGAATCTTAGTGCAAACACTTGTTAGCTGGGTACAGCTGCCCTGAATGCCTTCCCTCCTTGCCTCTGCCTCTTGGAATCCCTGGCTTCTTTCAGAGCCCAACTCAGGTGCCCACTTCTTCACAAGGCCTTTCCTGACCCTCCCCCCTCCACCCCCAGGTCGTTATTCCTCATTGCCTTTTGAAACTACTTTGTATTTATTTATGTATATACTGTATCTCTGCCCCCCTCCATAACCAGTAGAACCTAAGTCCCTTGAGAGCTGGGACTGTTTTCATTTTTGTATTGCAGTGCCTGGCACAGCATCTTACACAGTTTTTCAGACTAGACCATAGGGAACTGCTGGTAGGAAATTCAAGGCTGGGTGGCACAGTGGAAGATGCAGTGTTGGACTTGGAGTCAGGACTCCTGATTTCAAATCCTGCCTCAGAAACTTCCTGGTTGTGTCATCCTGGGCAAGTCACTTACCCTCTCTCTGCCTCAGTTTCCTCATCTGTAAATGGGGATAATAACACACCTACCTACCTACCTCACAAGGTAGTTGTGGGATCAGACAGGATAATCTGTGTAAAGAGCTTTGCCAGTCTTAAACCACTAGAGACATGCCAGCTATTCATCTCTCTGTCCTCGTGAAGATTGGCACCTGCTGTGCCAACCCATAAACTTAGAGTCTTTATAAGGAGAATTGCTTGGGGCATTAAGAGGTTAAATGACTAGTCCAAGGTCACAGAACCAACCAGTGTGTCAGAGGCAGGACTTGAACCCAGGACTTCCTGACTGAGGCTGGCTTTTCATCTACTTCACCATGCTGCCTCTTTATCTTACACCTTGTGGGCTCTTAATCATTGTTTGCCGAATCATTTTGTGTGACCATGGGGTAAGTCATGTAACTTCTTTGGGCCTCAGTTTCTTTTATCTGTAAAATGGGGATAATAAATACATGTGATACCTCCCCCACAGGGTTATCATTGGTAAGATCCTTTATAAACCCTACACCAGTACAGATGAGTAAGATATTAATTCCATTCCCTAACCGGTCTCTCATGTTACCCTCCCAGCATAATATATTATACCATGGCATGGACTTCTTCCCAGTATGGTTTGGAATAGATGGCTGTCGAGGTTCTTTTTATCTCTAGATTCTGTGATAACTTTCCCCATATTATAGAATGGAAAACTGAGACCTAGAAAGAATAGCTCACTTCTTTAATGACTTTTGTTATTGTTTTATTGAGTTCTCTGAAGTATGGCTTTGATAGTTTGATTTGTATTGCATTCAAAATGTAAATTAACTTCAGGAGAATTATCATTTCTATTATATTCTCACAGCCTGGCCTCAAGTATTGAATATTCTTCCAGCAATTTATTTGGAGAAACAAAATAGCCAGAAAAGAAGGATAATGGTTAAGGATGAAAAGATAATAGGCACTTCAAGCCTCAAACTGTTATAAAGCAATTGTCTTTAAAATTATTTGCTGTTGGCTAAAAGAATAGGAAGAAAATAGATCAATGTAATAAGGGGAGAATCAGAAACAATGGAGCTCAACCTAGTGTTTGAGAAATGGGAAATACATTTTACTTAGGAAAGAACTCCCTGTTTGTTAAAGGCTGCTGGGAAAAGTGGGAAGTAGTCTGGTAAAAATGATACTAAGACCAGTATCTTATATTCCACACTAAATTCAAGGTAGGTGTATGACATTTATCATAGGAAAGATCCTATCCTGCAAATAATTAGAGGGGAAGCAGGTCATATAACTTTCACCAATACAGGTAGGAAGTATATTCATAATGAAACACAGAACAGAGGTAATTACAAAAAATAAAATAGGTAAGGGATTGCATGAGACCGAAGAATTTCTGTCCAAACAAAATTATTATCTAGAATAAGAATGGAAGCAGTCGAATAAGACAAAAATTTTTGTATCAACTTTGTCAGATAAAGGCTTTCATGCCCAAGATATATAAACAACCCTTGTGTGTGTGTATAGTTTAGTTATATACCAAATGCCTTTCCTCAGTAAATAAGTGATTAAAGACTTATTATGTTATATTAAAGAGAACAAACAGTCCTCAAAAGAATTGTAAGTTATTATCCTTATGAAAGAATGCTCCAAGTGAATAATAACAAGAAAAATAGAAATCAAAGTTACCCTGAGGTTTCACCAATTGGCAAAGATGAGAATAGCCAGTGCAGAGGGCTTATGGGAAGTGAGGCACACTAGGTCATTGTTAGTGGAGCTATCAATCAAGACAACCATTTTGAAAAGGAGTGTAGAATTATGTAAATAAAGTGACTAAAATATCCACGACCATTTGACTCAGAGATTCCATTCCAGTACTAGGCTTATATCCTGAGGATGTCATTGATAAGAAAACAGTCGTCCACATGTACCAGAATATTTATAGTAGCACTTTTTGTGGTAGCAAAGAACTGGCAACAATGTGGAGGCTTATCTTTTGGGGAATGGTAAAACAAATTGTTGACTGTGCTGTAACAAAGTGAATATAGAGAAGCATTGAAAGATTCACAAAATCTGATGCAGAAAGAAGCAGAGACAAGAAAAAAAAATAGGCGTTATGATGACTGCTACATCGAAAATGGAAGGAACAACAGAGTAAATGCTGCAGAATTACAGAGAGGACAGGCTGCCCCATTTCCCACCCCCTATACCCCTGTTTTAGGAGGTCTATGCACATGGCACATTTCATTTATTTTCTTTTTTTTTTAACTTTCCATTTATATTTTATTATGCCATTCTCTTTATTCACTTAATCTGCCTCAATCCAGTACCTTCTCCGTTGGAAACTAACGTTGCATATATTTTTAAACATTTTTTCTGTATAGATGAGTTTTTCTAGTTTTTTTTTCTTTAAAAATATTTTTAATATGGAGTGACTTTCTGGAAGGGAGATGGGTACTGACAAATTTTGCTGATACAAAAAAATATTTACTGATTTTTTTTTAAAGCCTTGCTTTAAGTGACAGAGCTCTTTAGGATTAGTGCTAGTACTGGAGCCCTGATCACTTCTTTTCACTAGGCACCATACACACACCCAATAGGAAATGGCGAAAAGAGCCCTGGGGAGCAGCTATTGAAAGCCCCTTCCATTCCACCAGCTCCTCCTTAGCTTCAGAGAGAGAGGCACCGACTTGGGAGCTTGCATCTCTTGATGTTATCCCTAAGGCTCCATCATCTTTGGCCTTTACACTTTGGACAGCAGAAGAGGCAGTTGGGCCTGTGCCTAGGGGGCAGCTTGCCAATGTGACTGAAGTCTGATTTGAGCTCAGGTCCTCCTGGCTCCAGGCTGGTGCTCTGTCCACTTCGATACCTAGCTGCCCCTATGAATGTATTTAAAAGCCAAAGAGGATTTATATTTGACCCCAGGGCCAAAATGACCCCATTTCCCTATTCAGGAAACTCCAGTGGTGCCATATTACTGTTGAGGTTAGATTTGGGAGACCTGGTTCAGGTGTGAAAGAATTCACTTGGACCTTCTCTGTAGCCATTGGTGATGAGTTCAGGGTGGACCCCAAGAATGTTGGGGTGCTACCTGAAATGATGAGGGATAAATGTATGAGTCCTAGTGTCCTGAAAGAATTTGGTCTGACAGTTTCCAAGTTAAAGGCATTTATTTGGGGTGATGTACCCAAGTGGGCCTGCTCCCTGTGACACAGAATCCCAATGGGCTCTACTACATGTAGGAGGCAGAACATAGGCCGAAGGCCCTGTTCCCTTAAAGGAACAGAGCAGCCCCTGCTTCCCATAGAAGGCAAAGGCAGTTAGCCAGGTGAAAGGTATGGTTTAAATACAATTTTATGGAATAAGGGGAAGGGGGCAAAGGAATGGGAAGAGCAAACATGGTTCCAAAATGCCTGAGATATCTGGTAGTTGGGGGTGATAAGCAAAAAGAACTGGAAAGGGGAGGGGAAGAAATGTTCTGGAATTGAGTGTGCTTTGTGAAAGCACACAGATAAGTCCACGATGGGGGCTTTAAAGCAGTCTTCTTTGATCACTTTTCTGGCTGGTCACACCCTGCTTCCCATCTCACCTGCTGCTTGCTCCATCTGCCTCAAGCACTCTTTTCTACCTCATCATTACCTCAGACCATTTTCACTGGCTGGCCAGAATGCTCTTTCCCTTCTCTCCCATCTCACCCCTACATTAATTTTTTTGGATTCCTTCAAGTCCCAACTTTTGAAAGAAGGCTTTCCAAATCCTCCTTCATCTGAGTGGCTTCTCTGTGATACTATCCCAGATTTGTCCTCTATATATCTAGTTTGCATGTTATTCCTCTCCCCCCATTAGCTCTCTCCCTCCCTTCCCCCCCCACCTTATCTCTGTTTAACACAGAGCCTGGTACAGACTAGAAGCTTAATAAATGCTTATTAAGTGATTTGCTGTGCATCAAGCAAGCTCCCTCAGACTCTGCCTCACTGCTTGGCAGACCCCTGGGAACTGAGGAAAAGGACATGGAGAGCAGGGGAAACTGAGACACAGTTAATGAAATTAGGACTACAGCTATATCTACCAGGAATCTTTGTTTTTCCAAAAGGAGACTGGTTATTGGGTTATAGGAAATGGAAGAAAGAAATATTCAATGAGAATGTGGTATGGGTAGAGATGGGTTGGGGGGAGCAGATTTGTATAGCTGAGGGAGTGAGGGGTTGGGAAATACAGAAATAGAGGGGATAGTTGGGAAATTATTGAACAATCACTCTGGTAAATATTAAGGTGGCTCCCAAGTCCCTCACAATAATTATCCCAGCTTTTCAGATTCCCCTGGCCTTTGATTTCCCTTCCCCCAGTTAGAGATTCAAAAAGAGAGGAAAAGGTATTAGGGGAAGAACCATGGGAAAAGACTTAAGTGAAAGAGTTCGGCACAGGACAGGTAAAGAGCTGACTTTAAGAAGACTGGAGGGAGGTAGAAGGGTAACAGAGTGAGGCTGCTCTAAGGTGTGTGTTCAAATTCTGCCGTTCAGCACTCTGGACAGTCTCTTTCATTTCCTTTTGGACCCGGAGAAGGGAGTTTTGTAGAGAAGAGGGATACCGGATGTCAAAGAGACAGCTTTGAAGGCAGAGGGAAAGGCTGCTGAAGTGCAGCACTCTCACTCCCTACTGCCTTCTTTTTTTCTGGTTCCTTATAGCTAGACTCTCCCCTGGGAATAAGTGGGACGTCTCCATTTCATGCCTCAGTTTCCCCTTTGCTCATTCAGGGACTAGATTTGTTGTATTTGGTAGACCCATAAGTGTAGCAGGTGTAGGATATGAGTTGGCCAGCTAGATTCCCCTTGGAATAAATGAGACGTGTATGTATGTATATATAAGCATATGCATATATGCACATATATACATATAAGGCATATGTATAAAAGCACGTATATATGTATATATACTTTGTTTTCCCCTTTGCTTCCTCCCCTTTTCCTTTCTTCCTTGGCTATAGAATTCATGCGCAGAGGCAGGAGGTACAGAGTTCAGCGCTCTCCTTATCCACCACCTTTAATCCCACCCCTAACGGTACGATCTCTTAGACGACGACGAGGTATGACGTCACTCAACCCAACTGCTAGAATTCAAAAGCTTAATCTGGAATAATTGACCGATTAAAAAATTAATATATTTTAGTAGAATTGGTTTCCATTGTAATCCTTTGTAATTTATTTGTGCATTTAAAAACATTCTTAGGAGAGGTTAATAGGCTTCACCAGGCTACCGGTGAACAAGAATGGTTCTGAACCCCAGCTCTAGAACGTGATGAAAACATTGGAAGACAGGCGGGGTCCTGCAGTGAGGTCAGCGTCTAGGAAAAGAGAAGTAGGAACGAGGCCAATGCAAAATCCAATTGCTCGGTGGATTCTCTGGCTGGTTACCAGGGTCTAAAACTGCAATTCCCCAGAAATCAAGCTAGGGTAGACCAAATTCATGTTTCCGATTTTCCATTGGCTCTCGACGACCGCGCCCTACCAATCAGATATGAGCTCTTTGGCGGAAGCCGAAATGGCCGTGCTTCCTGGTCGGAGAACTCGCTTCCGGCATGTGTGTGTCTGTTGTGGCTGAGGTTCCTCAGGGAAAGACGCCGCAGTTGGGGCAAGGGTCTGGAAAGCAGAAGTCGGGGTGGCGAGAACGTGTGGGGGGGTGGGGGGTGGGTAAGTGAGAGGACCCCTGCACTGAGAGGCTGCTGCCGACAGCCAGAGCTGGCCCCAGAGTCCCCTTTCTGGGCCATTCCGAGACCGTAGGGATTCCAGGCCAGCCTCCCTGGCCCTGCCCCGACTTCTCCTTGTTCCCAAGCCGGCCATCCTGCAGGTGTGGAAGGAGCGATCAAATGAAGAAATCCTTCCCCAAGCCACCGGGGACATCCTTCTTGGAAGGTCTGGAGGGAGGAAAGGAGAGGACGGCTGTGTGGAGCGGGGAAAGGAGGGGCAGGCCATGATCCGAGCGCCCCGCCCCCCCCAAGGCTCTCATTCCGTCCTACCTGTAGTGTGCCATCAGCTCCCAGGGATGCTCTTTACAACCAGCGGGGGACTGGTCCGTGGCCACCAAACTCGGGAGCTGCTGGTGATGGGTATGGAAGGGGAGCAATTAGGAAGTTTCAGTCTGTCCGACTCTGTGACCCCATTTGGGATTTTCTTGTGCAAGAGGCTGCGTTTGAACTCGAGTGCTCCTGACTCCAGGGCCGTATCCACTGCGCCGTCTAGCTGCCCTGTTGTGAAGTAAGGAACTACAGTATCTGAACTCCCCAGGAAGGGCCAGCTCTAGAAGATTCAGAGGGAGACACAGGCAAGTGGGACAGCTTTGGAATTAATGGGCTGAAGTCATGATGTACTTAAAGCAAACAAGCAAGGAACATTTATTAAAAGCTTCCTATGTTTTTTTGTAAATTTATTTTATTTTAAATTTAAATGCAAAATGAGAAAAGAAAAAAAAGCATTACCACGTACACAACAGACCATTATGAGAGGATTCAATATAAAACAATACATTTCTATTTCAAGAAAACCTTTGTAATAAATACACATTGTATTCAAAGCTGCCCAGCTTTTCTTTGCTTCTTTGGTGGGTTTTTTTTTGTTCTCTTATGTGCACCTTTTATTTTTTCCTTCCTTCTTCCCGCAGCACCCTAAAGAAGTCTACAATTGAGTGTGGATATATGTAATAAATGTACGTAGATATCTATAAACATACACATGTATATACATATACATTCATACACATATATTAAGACTGTACTATGCTTATTTCCTCTTGCCACTTGTTTCTATGAAGGTGGATAATATCTTTCACCATTTCTGTACTCGGTATATATGAAGTGAAAGGCGATGAGACACAACTGCTTTACACTCTTTAGTGGTTGTAAAACCATCCCATGTCCTTTTTTTCCTCTTCCTGTAAACAGGATATGTTCTGAGGATTTTGATTCTATTACCACAGTAGAATCATAGACTTAAAATTGGAAAGGATATCACAGATCACCTAATCGAGTCCCCAGTCACATTATGCATCCTGGCTTCCACACCAATCAAACAAATATTTAAAGAGTAACTACAATGTACCTGTTAATATGTTCAGTGCTACTGAGGATACAAGACAAATGTTTTGTGTGTGTGTGTGTGTGTGTGTGTGTGTGTGTGTCTGTCTGTCTGTCTGTCCATCCTCAGGGGCTTATAGTCTGTCCCAGAAGACAGAACTTACAGGTCAAATACCTATTAAGTGTCAGAGCTTGAGATTCAAGTATGCATCTCTTTTTAATTCATAGATCCACCATACTCCTCTTTTTTTCATGTAATTAAGTGAAATACAATAGAAGTTCAGAGAAGAACCAGAAAGATCAATCTGAGCTGAAATTATTTGGAAAGGATTTGAACAGAGACTTGAAAGATGGATAGGATTTGGGTAATTGGAGATGAACGGGAATGGCATTCTGGAGAGAAGAACAAATACAAAGGCATGGAGACTGTGAGGGAGAGCCAGAAGAGCAGCTTGATTAGAACACAAGATTCAAAGGCCACCTGTGGGTTGGCTTCAGAGACAGGAGTACTTTGTGGGACATCTTGGCTATACCAGCTGCCATCAATTCTCAACCTGCCGGTTGTTTGTCATAACGTCATACTTCATCCTCAGGTCCAGCGGTTACATCCTCATGATGCCAGACCACTAGGAAGGGTTTCTAGACATGTCAGCCACTTTGTTCCTATCCTGTTTGGAAAAAGGCAATAAGTTCATTCTACCACTCAGGCCTCTGGGTGCATTTCCTGTTGTTCTCTGAGAGTATCTAGTTTTGTGAGTTGTTGCCTGTAAAGTATACAGTAAAGAGGCCACTTTTCCTACCTGCCCCAGTCTTCTCCAGCAGCCTCCTGGACAGCCATTGAGCAGTCACCATTGAAGCTTGGGAAGACCTTAGCCAGCCTCAGCAATTGCCATCTCCAAGGTCAAGCAGAAGAGTGTGTTGCTTTCTAAAGAGCTCATTAGAAAGTTGATCAGTTGTTCAGTCTTGTCTGACTCTGACTCCATGGACCATACTGTCATTGGGGGTTTTCTTGGCAAACACACCTGAGTGATGTGCCATTTCCTTTTTCAGTGGATTGGAAAGTACCAGTCTTTTACTTTGTTATCAAAAGAAATGACTTTTTGGGTGTGAAAGGGTAGGTAGAGGAATACATTGGGAAATGTATGTGATGTTAAAAAAAATGTATCAAGGAAATGGTTGAGTTTTTTAAAAAAAGGAATATGAGCCCAGTCAGGGGAAAGTAGAGTTCCATCAGCCCAGATGTCTCCTAGAGGTCTGAACTCTTCTCTGTTCTGTGCTTTTTACTCTCTTACCCGAACTTAGTCTGTCTTCCTTTCAGCATCCCCCATGCTGTCAGAGCAGCAGCAAAAGACTGGGTTCCCCACAGTGCATGCTGTGGTCCCCCTGGAGGGCACCATGAATCTGACAGGAGAGATGCAACCATTGGTTGAACAGCTGTGCCTTCATCCCTGGGGCAGCCCAGCCAGCTAGAAATCAGATTATTGATCTGCATTTGTTTGGCACTGGGAGAACAAGCCTCTGGACCATTACTGAGAGAGCTCAGTGGTTGAGGACCCCCATTCTAATATAGATTGAGGTCAACCCTTAATCTCTTAGTTCTTAGAATGGAGATTAGGAAAGGGCTCTCTCATCCTGGCACGACCCTGACTGTTTGCTTGAATTCCCTCCCAAATTCCCATAGCCCTTTTATCACTGTGGGAAGGGATGGGCACAAGATGGCTACCTTAGGAAATCCAAGTAATCTCCCCCTCACTGCTATTGACCACCTTGTCCAGATTTCCAGGTCCACCTTCTGCCTCTGCCAGGTTCCTCTTCATTTTTCTTGAGCTTTAAATTAGTTAAATTGAGCTCTGTGTTTGACCCCTTTGTTTTTCACCACAGGGATCCTATTTAGTTCAACAGTTGCCATATTAGTGCTGGAAAGTAGGGTGGGAAGCCAGAGCATGAAGACACATGGAGTTGTCTAGAGCTTTCCAGGGTCATATTTACTGCTAACTCCAATTACATGACTTTGGCCAAAGCCATAGCCCCTAAAAGTTGGGGGTTGGCAAGCCCAGGATGATTTGACACATACTAGTCTCTCTGTTCTGGCACTTGTGAATTCTTGTCTGCTACTGGGACAGACATGTTCCTGGCTATGCCTTGGATGGGGCTTCTCCCCACTCCACTCTCCCTACCTCCCACCAGCCAAGTGGAAGATGGGTGAAGCAATTGATTGCTATGTGGCTTTTTTCTTCATCTTCCCTCCAGATTCCTCAGGTTTGAGTGAAAGTGAAAACATACTTTCAGAGGGAAAAGGTAAGCTTTTGCAGACTGGAGAGAACAAATAAGCACTTTTCAGGTGTAAATCGCTGCCTTAAGAGAACTGGAAGTGAGGGAGTGGTTATAGCCCAGCCTGGATCTGCATGCTATTTAGAAAGAAGGAAATTCATCATCATATGTCCAAGTTGAGCAACTGGGAATTCTTCAGGGAGTTGAATTTTTTGAATGCTCCTAGTAAACTTGTGTATAAAATATTTTGATAACTCAATATAATTGGTTTCCTTTGTAATCCTATGGATTTTACTTGTTATATTTAAAAGCCTCATCCCCAAGTAAACACACATGTACAGACACACATCATTATCATCATCATCATCATCCTACTAGCAGAATAGGCAAGATGCCACTTCTCCTTCCATCGCAACATTGGGCACACCCAGCCAGTTGGCCTGTGCCCAGCATTGCCATGTGTGACTAGAAAGGGAAAAGGCGGCATGGAGCCCAGATTGGGGTTTCTGGCTCTTTGTAGGACTTCACTGAGGATGTCAGTTGTGCCTTTGAGTTCCTGCTGAAGCTCACACCCTTGCTAGACAAGGCTGACCATCGGTGCAAGTGAGTTCTCCCAGGGCCTCTGTTTGGCTGATGTACCCAAGAGAAGCCATTCTGTTTCTAGGGCTCCCTGCGCCTACTTTTAGAATGTTATACATCAGGATGTCTCATCTCCTGATCCCCTTAGATACCTCCTTCCTTGAGAAAGAGTGGGAGGAAAGACCTTGGTTTGACAGAACTCCCCAGGAGTTGGGTAGATGTGTTCCAGGTGGGGCAGGCAAACCTGCAGCCTGCCCACAGTCTAGTGCTTCCTTGCTGTCCTTTCTCAGACCCCTAGAGAAGCTTCTAGAAGTCTCTGCTTCTAGAATTGGAGCAGGTCTGAAGAAGCCAGATGCCCTCTGCTCTGAAGGCTCCCCTGTGTGTCTATTCAGACATTCTCCCTCCCTCCCCCTCTTCTCTCTCCCAGCTGTGACTGTATCAACATGCTACTCCAGGAGTGTAGTAAACAAGGACTGCTCTCTGAGGTGAACAAAGAGAGCCTGATGGCCAAGCGGTGAGTGTATGTGTAGTTGGGCCAACCCTGGCTGCTGTCCCTTCCACTCCCTGTGCCTGTTGACCCAGATGGGGCCTCTTTGCCTAGTGTTTGAGTTTGTGACTGTGGCTGGGTTATTGAGTCTGAGGGAAGGGCCAAATGCATGTGCTGTATGCTTGGGGTCTAGGTGCTCCTTATCCCTTAGAGTCTCAGCCACCTCTTTCTACCTCAGGAGATGAGGAATTGATTTTGATCATCATTCTGCTCCTCCCTCTTTCCTTTGGCATCATTGGATTGCCCTTCTCCATGTCCTATCTCAGTTTTCCCTCTGATGAGAGTAGGGGAGAAGATGGAATTAGGCCAGTGGCAGTGAAGACACTTTAAATATTAGGCATAACATGTATAACATATCAAATTGCCTTCTCGATGAGGAGGGAGGGAGAGAATTTGAAACTCAGAATTTTAGAAAATTAATGTTAAAAAATTTTACACATAACTGGAAAAAACATTTTAAAAAATGTCGGGCACAAGGTAACTAATCAGTAACGAAATACAAGTTAGAAGAGGCTATACTGGGAAGAGCTTTGGACTAGGGAGGCAGGAGACCTGGAGACCTAGAAAGTTCTGATTCTGCGGCTATAAGGAGTTCCGTGACCTTGGCCATTCACTTGACCCTTTTGAGCATAAATTTCCTCACTAAAATAGGGGGACTGGACTAACTGATATTTAAAGATCTTTCCAGCTCATGCCATTCTATTATTCCTATGAAATTTTGTTCCAGCCATCTCCAGGGGAAGGCAGCTCTTCAAGTGTACAAGAATTTGTTTGTATTTAGTGGACGATCACCTGGCATTTGATGTTTTCAGAGATTGTGGTGATAAAGCTATATTTTAGTGTAATGTGATTTATAACCCTAAAGCTGATGGCTAACACTTTGAGAAACACAGATTTCCTCCCTCTTCTGCTGTCTCTAGCTATTTCTGTTGTCCCAGGCCCCTCTTTTGACCCAGCTCCCCTTTTTCACAGCTTGAATGAATTCATGAAGAACATCAGTAATGAAAACTGTAAGTTATTTCCTTGTCTTCTGCCCAAATACACACACACACACACACACATACACCGAGGGGGTGGTCTCTGCCCTATGAAGGATGACTAATCAGGGTTGTATAAGGACCCTGAAAAGGGCAAGTAAGGGTAGGCAGAAGATTCTTCTAAAATTGTGCCTGCCTGTCCTCTTTGTGAACCCAATTCTGCTATTTGGGATGGAGAGGAGAGAGCAAAGGGAGGGGCTCAGAACCTTTGGGAAGTCCCCATATTTCAAGGGAGGAATGATGTTCAAAGTGAAACCCCAAGAAAAGGAGCCTGAGTCCCAGGTCTATGATGGAGCTGCTCTCTTTCTGACCTTCCTTGACTTGAACCCTTCTTGCCTTCAGCCCTGGGCCAACAAGGCTTCTCCTCACTTCTGTGTCTACTCCCTACAGCCAAAGCAGCTTCAGTCCGTGCTCTGCTCTTTGACATCTCCTTCCTCATGTTGTGCCATGTGGCCCAGACCTATGGTTCAGAGGTCAGTGAGAGGGGAAGGGCAGCAGGGAGTGGGGTAGAGGATGACAAGGGGTTTGGTGACACGGAAATGGGGAAGAAACCATTTGTGAAGGCCAAAGAAACTTCCTAGATCACCAGATCTCAGGAATCATGACACACTATGCCACTGGTTAAAGGCTGCCCAGATCCTCAGGAGAGGGACAGGGATCCCTTCTTCCCTCTTTCTGCCCTTCAGGCTCATGCAGACTCTTTAGGGACTATATTGACCACAAGATGGCGGCATAGGCCTCATTTTCTTCTTCCCCTAAAACTACCTGGTTCTTGGGTGGGTAGGAGAGAATATCAGCCTTGGCAGGATAAAGGCTGGGGCCCACCCAGGCAGAGGGGTGGGGGTGGCAGTGGTCCTCTGAGGGCTTTTGTCACACTCCCCTATTGTCAGTGTGGTAAAGGGTGCCTGGGGGGCAGATGTTTTATCCCTCTCCTTGACTTGTTCATCCATCTAGGTCATTCTGTCAGAATCCAGCACTGTGGGTGAAGTGCCTTTCTTTGAGACCTGGATGCAGACGTGTATGCCTGAGGAGGGCAAGATCCTGAATCCTGACCACCCCTGCTTCCGGCCTGACTCCACCAACGTGGAATCCCTGGTTGCCCTGCTCAACAACACCTCTGAAATGAAGCTAGTGTAGGTGGCCTGGAAGGATGCAAGTGGGGGCAGCAGTCGGGGTCTTTCTCCTTCAGGGCCATGCTCTTGCTCCCATTTTGGTGACCTTCCTCCCACTTCTTCCCAACAGGCAGATGAAGTGGCATGAGGCCTGTCTCAGCATCTCAGCTGCCATCTTGGAGATTCTGAATGCCTGGGAGAATGGAGTCCTGGCTTTTGAGTCCATCCAGGTAGCCATTCCCCCCTGTGCCCAGTAATGCCCTTTGGTCCCAGGATGTGACATCCTCATTTCCCACCCATACCACTCTTTACTCTTCTCTCTTCTCCAAAGTTCCAGGTGCCAGTCATGGATATCACTGCATCTCCTTAGGGTAGAGGGTCTCCCCATCTGTAGAACTGTAAGACCTAGGTGTCTCCTTCTGTAGCCTTGGTCATTTCTGGGTCTCTAGGTCACTTCTCCCTCTCCCTCCCAGCCCTCAGTGTCAGTGTGAGCATCCTGGATTATGGTGGGCCCAGGGCTCATCTTGCTGAGATCTGATGCTTCCCCAGGGGCAGCAGTGTCCAAGGAAAGGGTGTAGGGCAGGGCTTGGGGTTGGGGTTGGTAGCTGCAGCTAACATGTTTCCCATCCCAGAAAATCACAGACAACATCAAGGGAAAGGTGTGCAGCCTGGCAGTGTGTGCTGTTGCTTGGCTTGTGGCCCATGTGCGTATGCTAGGCCTGAACGAACGTGAGAAATCATTGCAGATGATTCGACAGCTGGTAGGGCCTCTCTGCAGTGAGAATACCCTGCAGTTCTACAGTGAGAGGTCTGTAATCTTCCCTTTCCCCTCCAAGCCTTTCCATGCACTTCTGTCTACAGTGCCTTCAATCATCATGATGGCTTTTGGGCTAGAAAAGCAATCATTTCTCTTATGCTGCTTACTCTACATACATATGGGAGGGAACACTTATCTTGGAGATCTGTGGACTGGAGAGGCCTTTTGCCTTGCTTTCCAGCCTTTGATCCTTGGGTCGTTTTCCCTTTTCCTGGGCTTTTTAGGGTCCTGGGGAGCTCACCTTCTTTCAGTCATTCATTCAGTAAATAACTTGTTGAGCACCTCTTATGAGGAAAACAGTTGTTTTGAATGTCTTGTAAAGGGAAGAGATGGTAAAGTTCAGCTAAAATATTTTCACTGTCACTGTAGAGTCCATTGCATTGTGATAACTTCTGCTCTCCTCAGTGGAAAGTTGTCCAGGATGTAAGAATCTTCAGCTTGTGCCTCTGCTCAAGGATTTCTCCTGCTAAAATTCTACATGAAAAGGAAGAATTTCAGTGTAATAATAATAATAGCAAATATTTATATAGCACTTTAACTTTGCAAAATATTTTGCCTGGGTCATCTCATTTGATTCTCACAACAATCTTGTTTTTGTTTTGTTTTTGGCTAGGCAGTGGGGCTAAGTGACTTGCCCAGGGTCACACAGCTAGTAAGCGTTATGTGTCTGAGGTCAGATTTGAACTCAGATCCTCTTGAATCCAGGGCTGGTGCTCTGTGTACTGTGCCACCTAGCTGCCTCTTCTCACAACAATCTTAACAGGTTGGTGCTATCTGTCATTATACAGATTCAGGAAGCTGATAGAAATTAAGTGAGACCTGCAGACTTCGAGTTTCTTTGGCAGAATTTGAACTCACATCTTCCTGATTCCAAGTTCAGCACTCTATCCATTGAACCATGGACAAATTTTGGCTCAAAGAGAGATTATGTTCTTTAAAGATCAGTTAATATTTTCAGAACTGGATTAACACCATTACCTGGGTGTAAAGATTCTTTGTTCTTTAAAGAATTCTGGCTCCACCCATTTCTGGCAACTAATCCGGAGCGGGAAGAGCTGTAGAGGGGCAGTCCCTGCTTGTGTCCCTTCTCCTGGAAGTATGAGTTTGTTTTGGGTGGGGGCCAAGCCTGGGCTAGAGCCTGAGAAATATGAGGCCCCCCCTTCTCTGCCCCCGTCACCTCCCCACCCAGGCGCTTGGTATATAGGAAATGACTTCTGTTTATTTACACTAAATGTGGCAGGGCCCCAGGCTAAGGAGCAGCTGGCTTGAATGCTGTGTAGGAAGGGGGCTAGTTCCCCTTTTAACATAGAGTGCTTCTGGTCCCTTTTCACCATCCAGTGCAGTTCTGCTGTGGAATAAAACAGGCCTTGGTAGCAGAGCCACTGGGAGCTTCCTCTTGTTCACCCCTGCAGAGTGTAGATGAATTGATCTGGAGTTCTTCTATAACACAAATCTTGGGAGAGTATGGGGTGGAAGGTTTAACCATAATAGTGTTTCCCTTCTTTGGCAAATATCACATCTGCCTTAATCTGCATTCTGTATTATCCATAGAAAGAAAAAAGCAGTTCATGGAAAATAATCAACCTGTCAGTGAATTGTGACTATGTAGGCAGTATTCCATAGCCTTGACCCCTCACCTTTACAATGAAGAAAGGAGTTCTTCTTTTCTTTGCTGCTATTAAACCTGCTTCTATAAATATTTTGGTCCATATGGCTTCTCTTTCCTTGATGCTTTTAGTCCTTAGCTGAAGGTCTTCCTTGCTACCCTAACCCCTGCCCCCATTTTTGATAATTTCAGTGTGCATGGTAACGAGACTTTAGGTTCACCAACCTCAGTGCCCTTGAGCCATCCCCAGGGTGGTCACGTCTTAGATCTCACCATCATCCCGAATTGTTCTACCTCCCAGAACTCTAAAATGTGTCTCTCTGATCCCGCCTGTCCAACTGCCTTACTCTTCTTAAACCTATTCTTGGTCCTTCCTTGACCTGTGAGTTCTCTGTCTCACAGAGACATTCTACCTCATCACATCTTTGCAAGTTCTCTCTGTTGCTCCTGCTTCTTCTGGAGCCAAGCAGACAAGGCTGATTACTAACACATAATTGGTCTTCGGCACTCTGGGAGGATTCCCACATGCCCTCACCTCTAGGTCAACTCTTCTCCAAGTGGAATATAAGCTCTTCAAAGAAGAGAGACTGTTTTATTCTTTTCCTGGCCATGTAGTAGGTGCTGAATAAATGCTTGTTGATTGCTTGATTCTTTTAAGTTAAGTATTCCTGATTCCTTCAATTGATTTTATGACATCTGCTGGTCACTATCCCGGTTACCCTTTTCTGGGTTCTTTCCTCCTTTTGAGTCTCTTTTTTAAAATGGAGTTCCTAGAACTGAATACAATACTACAGATATTGTCCAACCAGAGTAGAATTACAGTGCATCTGTCGCTTTCCTTGCTCTGCTCACTATTCCTATCTTTTTTTTTAAGAATAAGTTTCATTGATTTCTTTTTTATATGTTAAATTTCCTCTAGTATTCTCTTCCCCTCCTTGAGAGCCATCTCATGTAAGTATTTTTTTAAACAAGGAAGTCTTTGTGGACCTGAGACAGTGTTCAGTAGAGCAGAAAGTAGGTTTCAGAGCAGATGTCCCCAAAGGAGGTTGTTCTGGTGCCATCCTAGTTCTGGGAGCAGTTTCCCAAGTTCTTGTAAGGAGCTGGGCACAGGGAAAGTGGCCTGATGGCCAGGCTTTGCCTGCTTCTGGTCCCTGAGCTGATTTCTGGCTCTGGATCTGGTATTCTTCCCTCCCTTTCCCACTGACTGGCAGAGAGGCCGGTATGGGGACTTCTTAATCTGAGGATTGCAACTCCTTTCCTCCCACCTTGTGTCCATTCCTGGGAGCCTCATTTGCTCAGCTTCCTTGTCCCTGAGCTCTGTGCCCTGAGAGGAGAAGCAGGCTCCTGTAAGTGAGAGCTGGTGGCCCCCAGAGTTCACTCACCAGGCTGTGCAGCTTCAGTTTTTCTTCATCACACAGGTTATCAGCACAGCATAAATGTTAGTTATTGCAGATAACTGCAGCCTCCTTCGCCTTGTCCCCCTCCAGTACTTGACTGCAGAGGTTTCATTCCTCCCCCCATCCCATGACGTCTTCAGCACTGATGTCCTTTGGGTGTCCCTTCCTCCCCTCCTCTCTTGTCCACTCTTCCTTTGATTTCATTATCTTCCCATTGTGCAACTGTGGTGCCATTTCCTCATCTCCTCCTTGAGACCTCCTTTCAACACTCAGGCATTTTCCCTCTGTGGTGTTCCTCCTAGGCCAGGAGGCTGTCTTCTTCTCGGGGCTCTTCTGTGAGGAAAGGGGTGTACCTTGCCTTCGGGTCTTCCCTAGGACCTTTAAACAGAGTGGGGTTCATCTCACCAGTCAGCCAGGAAGGGAGGCTGGGGAGGCCTCAGGGTTGGAGGAGGGCTTCCCTTGGGGGAAAGTATTTTGAGCAAACACTGTAGTCTTCACCTCTGCCTCTTCCTCTTATCCTCTCCAGCTGATAGGTCCATGAGCAGTTCTCTCTCAGCCTCTCAGATGCACACAGTCAATATGAGAGACCCTTTGAACCGAGTCCTTGGTAAGTTCCTTCTCTTCCCTAAGCCTGGCCAGCTGGGCATGAGACTCCCTTCTTCCACCTTCCCTTACCTGGTGGTGGACACACTCTGCTCATCTTCCCCTGAGTACGTCCTGTGGTCCCCTGTACCAAATCATCTCTTCTCTTCTCTCCTCCTCCTGTTTCTTCCTTTTTATCTTCTTTTTTGTCACCGCTCTTGTCATTCTTCCTGCCTCTCATCTGTTCTCCCCCACTCCTGATTTCTCCTTTCCTTTTGCTCTCTGCCTCCTCCTTCCTTGCTGTCTTCCTGCCTCCCTTCCTTTGCACTTTACACTCCCTCTCCATCTCCAGATTTTCCTTCATCCCTTGTGCCCTGACTGACCTTCATGTTCTCTTGTCCTCGCTGCTGCGCAGCAAACCTGTTCCTGCTCATCTCATCGATCTTGGGGGCCAGGACGGCAGGCCCTCACACCCAGTTTGTGCAGTGGTTCATGGAGGAGTGTGTGGACTGCCTGGAGCAGGGCAGCGAGGCAGCATCCTGCAGTTCATGCCTTTCACCACTGTAAGTTGTGGGGCAGAGTGGAGAGCTGGCAGCTCTGCTCTTTGGTGTTGGGGAGTGAATTTGGGGAGGTGTGGGCAGTGTACCCCTAGCATTCACAGAGGGCATAAGAATTATCTGAGATGAGATGTCTGTACAATTTCCAAATCATTCCTTTGACTTCTAGTCTGAGACTTCTCTGAGCCTTTTTTATAATGTCCACTCCTTGACTTTGTTGTTGTTATTGTTCAGTCATGGCTAACTCTTTGGGATCCCATGGACCATAGCCGTCCATGGGGTTTTCTTGGCAAAGATACTGGAGTGGTTTGCCATTTCCTTCTCCACTGGATTAAAGCAAACAAGTTAAGTGACTTGCCTAGGGTCACACAGCCTGTAAGTGTCTGGAAGGAAGATGAGTCTTCCTGACTCCAGGCTGGGAGTTCTATCCATTGAGCCACCAGCTACCTCCTTGACACCTGGTCCTTTATTCCTGGAGAGCTTCTCATCGTACCTTAGTTCATTAGACTGTAGATTTAAACCTCCTCCTTACCTCTTTTCTTTCTATTTTTTAATTAAAATTTTTACACATACTAAGTATTTATTTTCTGTCCCTCCCTTTCTCCCTTCCCCCATTGAACGTAAGGATAACAAAACCCTTGAAACAAATGTAGTCAGTCAAGTAAGACAGAATCCTGTATTCTGCTTTTCCAAGTGCTAATTAACCTGCTGGGGTTGAGAAATATTTCTTTGTATGCCTTTGGGGTCCACTTTCCACCCCATCTTCATTATAAATAAAGAATGTGCTGTTCTGCTGTTCCTTGTGAGGACTGGTGTTTGTCCTTCTTTAGGTCTGGCCTGCACTCCTCGAGGAATCCAAGAGGAGCTCAGTGCTGTTTTAGAGTCTCAGCTGGAGGAAAGAGATAAATGCTACCTGCTCCCTCTCTTAGGCTCTTGTGTGTGCGCTCACTCTCTCTCGCTCTCTGTCTCTCTGTCTCTCTCTCTCTGTCTCTCTCTCTTTCTCGCCCAGCTTTCATATATGTGTGAATGTAATTCCTTCCAGCCCTCACCCTCATTAACACTACTTGGGAGGCCAAATCAAAGTTGGCTTCTGGTTTAGTTAGTTTCTTCAGGAGAGGGATTAGGAAGAAGGGTGCTTTTAATTCCTAGTCCATTACAGCTAGGCACCCTACAGTTCTTTATAATTCTGAGCTGAGAAATTATCCTTTTCTAGAAACTAGCCTGGGAAAGGAAATTTGGTTTCTGAAGAACTAGAGGGGAGCAGCTAGGTGGTGTGTTGGATACAGCACTGGCCATGAAGTCAGGAGGACCTGAGTTCAAATCCAGCCTCAGACACTTGACACTTCCTAGCTATGTGAGCCTGGGCAAGTCACTTAACCCCATTGCCTAGCAAAAAAAGAAACTAAAGAACTAGAGGGTAGGCAGTTGTTAGGCAGGGAGGGAGAAAGCTAGCCATTGTGGCACTTTGTGCCAGTGGAAGTACCCTGCGACGTGGTGATTACCAGACTGGAGGCTGCTTGTCTGGCTCAGCAGAATCAAAACAAAAGTGGGGATGGGAGGGAAGTTAGTGAGGAGAGTCTGCATGGAGGTGGTGGGGAGTGTTCAGAGCCTACCTTATCAGATGCTGCCATTCATAGGCCTCCCCTCCATCCTGGTTTTGAGAATATCTCTATTTACTGCCCCATTCTGCCTGTCCTACAATGATCACAGTTATAATTAAGTCAACAGTTACAACCCAGATAGGCTTGTAGAAACAGCCAGGCTTTGAAGACTCAAGCCCAATCCCTTCTCCGTTCAGAGGGAATCAACAGTGGAGCTGGTTTAGGCAGGCTGTTTAGGAGTGTAAAAGAAGGAGACAGACCTCCGGTTTGGGGAGCCCCTCCCGGCCCTACCTTCCCTTCTCAGAAAGCTAGCTGGGGATCTACTCAGCAGCTAGATACCAGGACTAAAAATGACAGGCCATCACAAATGCCCTGAGCCTAGAAGGACTTCAGGGACCACCTCTGATCTCCCATAAATACCTTCTGCATACCCCAAATTCTTGAAAAGAAAATTACTCCACACAGAATTAGTAGGATTTCAGGTGCAATTCCACAGACATTTATTAAAATGCCTACAATGTGCTTAGCGCTGGGGATGCAAACACAAAAATGAAAAACAGTGCCTGCCCTCAAGGAGCTTACATTCTCAGCACCTCCCAGCCAAAGCTTCCTTTGTTCTGCAAAGAGCTTTTCCCATGAGGCAAAGGAAAAACCAGAGAAGAGTTGGATTGACCCTGGCAAGACTGGTGATTTAGGCTCTGCCTCCAACCCAGCCGGGGCCAGGCCAGGAGAGTGGGTACCAGTATTTACCTAGGGAACATTGCTGTTTAAATATTAAACAACGAAGCATCTCCCACCTGGAGATTGGTCATTTTATGGCAATACTTGGTATTTACCTATTAATCTTCCAGCCTCCAGGATGGCTGGTCAGGATTTTCCCCTGCTATGAGCAGGGACACTGACTGTGACCTAGAATGGGATTGGGGTGGGGGGGACTCCAGTCCCTTCCACCCTTTAAATATCTTGCTAAGTTTAAATACATAAATATTAAATAGGGGATAAATATGGGATTAACTCAGGACTGGGAAAGATGGCGCAGGTCCCGGTATGTCATGTCCAGGAAGCCCTGCATGTAGTCAAAGATGAGGACGGCTCCTGCTCGACGCTGGAAGGAGGAACTGAAGGTGGGCAGGGTGCCCTGGATAGGCATGATCTCAGGTGCCACTTGAAGATCTTCCATCTGTGGGAGAAGGAAGGTGTCAGAGGTAGAGTATGGAGGGGAAGCCAGCAAGCCTGTGTCCAAGGGGCTTGCTTCTTAACCGACTGCCTTCCATGGCTAAACCTCAAGCTTTAGGCGATTCCTGCCTCCTTGACAAATCCCACCGTAACAGTCCTTTGAGACCAATAGTAGGGATGGGTTCATTTTAGACCTTCGACCCATACCTCACCTAGCCAACTCTTCTAAATACGATTTTCCCTAAAGAACAAAAACATTCTTTTATATCTATAATATCAGGAAGGGAAAAAGAAGGATGTTCATTTGACAGATAAGGGAATGCATCACGAAGAGTTAGGCAGTAGTAAATCTCACCTGTTGCCAGATGTTGGCAGCAAAATCACCAATATCGAGCTGCAGGATGTTCAGAGTTGGAGCCAATTCAGGGGAGATGCCCCCCAATGCTTTCACAAGACCCTGGTAGAGCTGGAGTCCATAGTGCAGCTGATTCAGGCAGGCTACCTAGGGTTTGGCAGACTGTTAGAAGAAAGGACCCAGGGCTGGGCTGAACACCCTCCAGGCCCACATTCCCTACGTGAAATTCTCAAATCCCTGCCTCCCCTCCCTAACCTGTGGCACTGAGCGGCAGGGTAGAGTGAGTGAAATCCAAACCTTCAGGATTTTGTTGTTGTTGCCACCCACCCCCACAGAGGAAAGGAAGAATTTATATTTCCTTCACCTTCCAGAGATCAGAGAAGAGCTTGGGGGCACTTACCATGCTCAAGTCCTGACTATAACAGTTTTTCAGAGGTGGCTTGGGGATGCCCAGATACTGGCCGACCAAAATCAGCTCCTCTGGATGGCATAGGCTGTAGTCAGCACACTGGGAGAGGCAGGAATCGAGTGCTTAGTAGAGCTGGTGGTGGGAGATCCCCCCCTGGGCCCTACATGTAGTCTCTGCTTCTTAGCTTCAGTCTGACTGTCTATCTTGATGGCAGTGGATAGAGAATATTGAATTTGGAGCCAGAATTCAGATTCTGGCTCTTAAACTATGTGGCAAGATTGGACAATTTCAACTTCTCTTCATATCCTACCCTGTAAAATGTGAGCTTGGGCCAGGGGATCTCTAAAGTTCCTTCCAGCAGGAAATTCTACAATCCTTATCCTCCCCCTGCCTCTGGTACCTCCTCAGCTTCTCTCTATCACAATGGGATTGTTCTTAATGCATCCATTCATTTGGTTTCCTGGTCTCAGTTCTAGTTCACCCTTGTTTTTTCTCCCTAGGCTCTCTCGGTCAGGTGCTACCACGTTCACCTTGATCTGCCCCTGGGCCTCTTACTTCCCTACCCCGTGGGTCCCTTTCTCACCAATCTCTGCTGCAGCTCTTCGATGTCATTCTGGATCTTCCTCACTTGCTCCTGGATTTGGGGAAGGAAGTTCTGGGGCAGGTAGTTGGAGGAGCTCAGGGGGATGGCCAGGAGCTGAGGCCAGAGTGCACTCAGCCAGAATAGCAACAGATCTGGGGAATGAGAGGGAGGGGAATTATCAAGAGAGAGACTTTCGTGAGAGAAGGGTCCCAGTTCCTCCACCCCAAGACTCCAAGACTTTCATTCCCAACATGGGGTCCCTTTAGTGTCCCTAATTCTCCCCATCTGCCCCATTGCAAAGTCAATGGGAATCCCACACTCTCCTCATTTAGGTGCCTTTCCTAACCCTAGACAGATAGATAGTCCAGGCAGTCCCATCTTGCGAGATGAAGGAAAAAGGGCCCTCATGTCACCGGACTCACTGGGAAGCTTCATGGGGCTTTGGTCTGGTCGATGGGGCCTGTTTGGGTCAGGAGCTGCAGGCGCTGGGCTGTGTCTGGGGCTGGCTGCTTGAAGCCTTTATAAGATGGGCCATTCGGGGAGGAAATTACCTGGTGCTGAAAGTTCTTAGTAATGACTTCCCAGGTTTATGCAAATCAATGCCCAGACAATGCTTTAGGGTGGAGTGGGGAGGGGGGAGGGCAGGGGTCTGGGACACCAAGGACTCAGTTTGCGAAAACTTTGTGAAATTGTGGAATATCTCATCCTCTTTTGACGTCCTGTCCTCCCTTCCTCGCCCCACCCCAACAGCCCAGAGATGCCCTGGGGCTTTTCAAGAGAACAGTGGAATCAAGGGCCTGATAAGAGGGAGGGAAGGAGGCTAAGAGATAGAGTGGTGACAGAAATAGAGCCAGAGACTGAATTGAGGCCAATAAAGACAGATGGAGTCTGAGAAGAAAGACCCTTCTGGGACGCCTTTATCCTATTATCCCATTCCGGTCTCCCACTGTAGCCTTCTCTTTTAACTCTCCCAGCCTGGCTGGTCTCCCTGGCTAAGAAGGGAGGGAATAGTTCTTTGGCCCCTGTGACCGTCTCTTGTTCCTCAAGCTTTGCAGGGTCTGACTGCCTATTCTCCCTGTGGAAATAACTGCATTCTTGCATCTGAAATTGGGACACATAGTAGAAACCATAGGGTACTCCACCACCATGTTCTAACTCTATTACCCTTTCCCCCCATCCCCCCTTCCTCTTTGCCAGGCACAATTCCAACCTTCAGGCTGCTTTGAGCAGGTTGTGCCGGGAACTCCCCATAGCACACGCACATCCCCCAAACCATGACTCATTCTCCTAAGCCCCCAAATTCCCCAGCTGGCTGACACCGGATATCTGTCCTGAGTGAAGCAAGAATCACAGTAGCTCCTGACTGTACTGGTCATGTTCTCGCTCCCCCCCAGCACTCATCATCTTCCTGGAGAGTCACAGGTTGTGGGTCCCCTTTCACAGCCCTGTTAGGAATTTTTCCCCTCAGGAAGGAGGTTGGCAGTGTGTGTGTGTGTGTGTGTCTTGTTGAAAGCGCAGGGAATGGGGACCAGCTCTAGCCTTGGAAAGTGATTTGAGACCAAGATTGCAGGGTCCTGTCTTTCCCACCATGTGCCCCACACTCAAGAATAGCTCTGCCCCTCATTGCTGAGATGAGCGGTGCCCCCTTAAAGCGGGGGCCGTACCTGGGACTCTCACTCCACCTGGTGGCCACACCTGGCAGGTATCAAACAAAACCTGAACTTCGGGTCAGGAGACTTGAGCTCTGATTCCAACTCCCCAGTCTGTTAGTGGACAAATCATTTCACTTATTCAAGCCTCAGTTAGATTATTTGGAATGTTAATAACACACTTTCATTAGGTTGCTGAAAGGAAAGTGCTTTATAAATTATAGCTCCTTGAGAGCTAGTTATCAGTTTGCCTTTGTATCCCAGCATTTAACAGGGCCCAGCACATAGTAGGTACTTAAGAAATGAAGGAAACAGGCATTCATTAAGCACCTACTATGTGCGCATCCCAAGGCTTTACAGATTTCTTATTTGATCTACACCACAACCCTGGGAGGTAGGTGCTATTACTCCGCACTCCCCTCCCCCCCATCTTCCTCCCTTCCTCCCTGTCTCCCACCCTTTACAGTTGAGGAAAATGAGGCAGACAGAGCTTAAGTACTAATAATAGCTAGCAGTGTCTACTATGTGCCTGGTACTGTGCTAAGCACCTTACAAATATTATCTCATTTGATTCTCACAACAAGCCTGGGAGGTAGGTGCTATTATTATTCTCATTTTATCTTGACAAAGTTGGCTCATGGCATTATTTTAGTGGTTATTCACACTAAGGAGTAAAGGCTTGTAAGGTATTTCCAAAATGTTTCCAGGCTAATGTATCAGAAAAAGTAATTAGAGTTTTGTTTTCCATCTGTTAAAAAAAAATAAAAACATACAAGTTCAGTGCAGCCCCACAGTGGCTAAAATTTTAATCAAAATGTAAATATTTTGCAGTGGAAAGGAGAATTGGAGAAACTTATAAATATATGAAACCAAATTTGGGAATGTCTGTATAAATGAATTATACAATGAAAAAAGAACCCCCCCAAAATTATTCTCATTTTACCGATGAAAAAATTGAGGCAGACAGGTTAAGTGACTTACCTAGGGTCATACTGCTAGTTAGAGTCTGAAGTAGGATTTGAATTCAGGAGTTCCTGACTCCAGGTCCAACATTATCCACTGTGCCACCTAGCTGCCTATATATGTGTGTGTGCATCTATACATATGTACATATATATATGATATAAAAATGTGTATGTGTATATATATATGTATATACAGAGAGAGTAAGAGAGATAGAGAGAGGGAGAGGCAGAGATGGAGAGAGACAGAGAGACAAAGAGAGAGAATGAGACAGAGAGAGGCAGAGGCAGAGAGGGAGAGGAAAAGACAGAGACAGAAAAAGGTAGAGGGGATGAGACAGACAAAGGGAAGAGAAAGAGAGAGATGAAGCTTTTATTAAGTTCTTACCATGTGCCAGGCACTGTGCTAAGCACTGGGGATACAAATACAAGCAAGTAAGACAGTCCCTGCCCTCAAGGAGTTTACATTCTAATGGGAAAAGACAATACCCCTGGCAAGGGGGAGGGGATGAGTTACAGATGCAGGGCATGATTTGGAGCAGAGGAAGTGGTTTGGGCCCCTGAAAGTTAAGACAAAAATTCACCAATTAGCTAAGGGGCCCACAGGTGGGTCCGGTTTATGGGTAGAAAGGGATGAAGGCAAATTATTTGCTAAGGATGACTTGTTATTGTAAAAAATGATGTGCATGGACCCTAACTTTTGGGACAAGAACTCACTATTTGACAAAAACTTCTGGGAAAACTGGAAAACAGTATGGCAGAAACCAGGTATAGATCAACATCTTACACTATATTATATGTATACTAAGATAAAGTTGAAATGACCACATGATTTAGACATAAAAGGTGATACCATAAGCAAATCAGAAGAGCAAGGAATAGTTTACCTGTCAGATCTATGGAAGAGGGAAGAATTTGTAACCAAACAAGAGATAAGAAGCATTACTAGATATAAAATGGATAATTTTGATTATACTAAAAAGCTTTTGCACAAACAAAACCAATACAACCAAGATTAGGAGGAAAGCAGAAAGCTGGGGAATAAATTTTACAGCAAGTGTCTCTGATAAAGGCCTCATTTCTCAAATATATAGAGAAGTAAGTCAAGTTTGTAAGAATGTAAGTCATTCCCCAATTGATAAATGGTCAAAGGATATGAATGGGCAATTTTTAGATGAAGAAATCAAAGCTATTTATAGTCATATGAAAAAATGCTCTAAATCACGGTTGTTTATAGAAATGCAAATTAAAACATTTCTGAAGTACCACCTCACATGTGGCCATTGTAACCAAAAAGGAAAATGATAAATATTGGAGAGGATGTGGGAAAATTGGAATGTATTGTTGGTGGAGTTGTGAACCATTCTGGAGAGCAATTTGGAACTATGCCCAAAGGGCTATAAAACAGCATGCCTTTGATGCAGCAATACCACTACTAGGTCTATATCCCAAAGAGATTAAAAAAGGGGGAAGGTTGGGGGAAATGACCTATTTGTATAAAAATATTTATAGCAGCCCTTTTTGTATTGGCAAAGAATTGTAAATTGGGAGGGATACCTATCAGTCGGGGAATGGCTGAACAAGTTGTGATGGAATACTATTGTGCTACAAGAAATGGCAAGCAGGCTGATTTCAGAAAAGCCTGGAAAGATTTACATGACCCGATGCAGAATGAAGTGAGCAGACCCAGGAGAACATTGTACACAGTAAACAGCAATATTATACAATGATCAACTGTGAATGACCTAGCTATTCTGATCAATACGGTAATCCAAGACAATTCCAAAGGACTCATGATGAAAAATGTTATCCACATCCAAAGAAATAACTGATGTAGTCTGAATGTAGATTGAAGTATACTATTTTTTACTGTCTTTATTTTATTCATTGTTTGTTTTTGGTCTGTCTTCTTTCACAACACAACTAACATGGAAATATGTTTTGCATGATTGTACATGTATAACCTATATCGAGTTGCTTACTGACTCAGGGAAGGGGGAGGGAAGGAAGGGAGGGAGAGAATTTGGAAGTCAAAATTTAAAAAAAATGAATGTTAAAAATTGTCTTTACATGTAATTAGGAAAAAATAAAATATTTAAAGAGAAAAAAAAGAAATTATGCATATAATTCTGAGAAACTTGCCAAGATTCCTACGACTGAGACAGAGCAATCTTACCAAAGGTAGAACCATCTCCAGGTTGATCACAATACCATGAAGGAAAAGAGCACTGAGAGATTTATGGTCAGTTGGGTGAGCTGTCCTGACTTGAGAAGACTGATGGCCAAGTGCCCCTCCCACTTCTTGGCAGAAAGGTGGTAGATTAGAAAAGCCAAATGAAGAATACGTTTTCAGATATGGCCAATGCATGGATTCAGTTGGAAAAGGTAATGAAATTTTAAAAAAAGAAAAGGGAAAGAAGGAAAGAACATCAATAAAAGTGAACTTGGCAGGGGTGTGCTTGAGCTGGCTTGTGCTCAGGAGGGCCGATTATTAAATTTTCAGTGTGTTTACCCTTCTGAAATAGGCAGATCAGGGCTTGAATTATCATCTTGTTGATTGTCTAGACTTAAGAAAGTTATGGAGAAGATGTTAGTAATGCAGATTAGATTTAAATTCAATAAGTTGTGCATACATACGCCTGCCAAGATCTGGTTGTTAAAAATTTACCAGCAAACACCTACCTCTGGCTCAAGGCTCCCCAAGAAACTCTGGGCTCATCTGGGTCTGATTCCAGAGGCTAGACCCCCTGAAGGGTTAGTTTCTCTCCTTGGCTCTTGCCCCAACCCCATACATTTTACTCTGGGGAGATCTCTGGAATAAAGCTTAGGTTTGGTTCAGTTCTAAGTTTTGCACAATATGGGTAGCAGGAATTCTTATACAGGCACTCAATAGATGGGCCAGTTTTGTTTTTTTTTACCACCACAGAAAATGCATAGAATTCATAGGAGCCTGTGGACAAATACAGAAACATAAACCATCAGGCCAGAAGGTAAAGATACTCTGGGGTTGCTCCACGGCATTTCCCATTCATCTTGAATTTGCACTGCCCAAGCAACACCAGGGAGAGTTATTAAGGTCCAGATGTCCCATAGCATAGTTTTAGTGCTTTAGCTGAAAGGTCAGCTTCTATTGACCTTTTATTCTCTTCCTTATCCAAGAAGCACATTATTAATGGAAATTCTCCTTAGAGAATGCTCCTGCCCCAATCATTGAACCCAAGCACTCTCAAATTTGAGGTCACCCATGAATTAACTCCAAAGATGGGGCTTCCCAGTATCTTTTCAGACCAGAAGGTCAGGATCGTTCTACCTAGGGAATTTTAAAATCCCTCCTTTGCAGGACACTGGGATTCAGCAACAGAATTTTTGCACTTCCTTCCTCAGGCAGTGTGGAAAAAAGTCTGTAACTGTAAAAAAAGTGCTGCTTCTGCTGTCAATTGTCATTACCTCTTGTGGGGAAGTAGATAAGGAAAAACCTCTCCTCCTATTTTATCCCCCCTCTCCCACCATGCTGGCTGCATTTCTGAAGAATATGCGAGGGAAAAAATAACGAGGGAGTCCTGGACAGCTAGAAAGGGAGTGGGATGCAGGCCCTCTCAACTCACTTTTATAACCCACAGGTCCAAGAAAGGAGATGGCACCTGAGTGTGTCCCACTGAGTCTCTGTCACTGGAAACCAATCAAAGGCTTTCTGTGTGTTCAGCATGGAGGCAGTGCACATGTTCTCCATGAGAGCTGCCTTTCAGATGGCTGTAGAGATTTAGGAGCCATCTGCATAGTGATGGTTGCCGAACTTGTTGGGGTTACCATGTCATAAGAGAATTTCTGGCTTAACTTTTGTTTAAAGTGAATTTTTGGGAGAACATAATTGACATTTTGCTATATGTGACCCCTGCATGAACTGTAGGACCAAAGCAATGGCTGGTTCTCTTCAGTGTCTTCCTTTGTTTCTATTATTAGCACAAAAAGGCTAAATTGCTAAGAAGAGAGGATTTCATCTTCTGAGATGTCTACCTCCATTATCTGGCCTTTCAAGAAGCTCCTTTTGATTTAGTAAAACCAGCTGTACTAGCAAGGACACATCCCTTAACCTATCTCCTCTAGCTAAGACTAGACATACATTCTCTTAACATGAGCACTTTGTTTGTGTAATGAGCAACCATCTTTTTTTGCTTGTTTTTGTTTCATATAAGTATATGAAATGCAATAGACTGAAAGGTGAAAGACGCACTTTCCCATCACCTGTAGGTAGGATGTGTGTGTGTCTCTCTCTCTCTCTCTCTCTCTCACACACACACACACACACACACACACACACACAGACTCTGAATGTAATAAACCCTGTTCTCTGATTCCTTCTGGCTTAGTTGGTGTGAGCTAGTCGAACCTATTTCTAAATTCATGCAAGAACCAGAAGAGAGGATAAGATGGATTGATAAAAGGTCAAGGTCTGAGCTAGACAAGAGAAGAAGGCCCAAGACAGAGTCCTTCAGGACACTCACATAGAGCAGGGCAGAGCATGTCTAATGAGCCAGGAAAGGAGACTGAGTCAGAAAAGCAGGAAGAGAATCAGGGGAGTGAAGTGTCATGAAAATCCCAAAAGGAAAATATCCAGGACGATGAGATTGTCACATTGAATGCCGAAGAGAGTTCAAAATTGGGTGATGACAAAGAAAAACAATTATTAGATTTTGAAATGAAGAAACCATGAGTACATTTCCAAATCCCTAACTAGTCCAAAGAAGAGGAACAAACACTTTTCAAAAGGAGAATTGCAAAATATAAATGGCCATAGGAAACTGTGATCCAGATCACTAGTGGTAAGAAAAATGCAAATGACAATAATTCTGAAGTTTCCCCTTCTACCCTACCTACAAGATGGTACAAAAATTTTAAAAAAGTGGGAACAAAGAGTCAAAGTTAGAGGAATGTGGGAGTAAAGACACACTAATACATTGTTGGGAGGTGATGAATTGTTTTAACTTATAAATATTAGTATAAAATTATGCAAGGAATGACTAAACTGTCTATACCCCTTGACTCAGTGATTCTTCTATGGATCATGTGAACTAAAGAAGTCAAAGACAGAAATATCCTTTCTAGCACTCTTTCTGGTAGCAAAGAACTGAAAATAAAAAGGGTGCCCATCAATTAGGGAATGACTTAAAAAACTCTGGCGTATTAATGTAATAGAATATTACAGTGCAGCAAGAAATGAGGAATACAAAGAATTTAAAGGAACACAAAAAGATTTATATGAACAGATGCAGGGTGAAATAAGCAGAAATAGGAATAATACACACACCTGCAACAATGTCCATTCATTAATTTATTTGTTCATTCATTCAATAAACATTTATTACAGCGCCCAGCACAGTTCAGTAGCTAATGTGCTCAAAAGTTGGAGGACCTGAGTTCATATCCCACCTCTGACTCTTACTAGTTCTGTGACCTTGGGAAAGTCACTTAAAATTCCTAGACCTCAGTTTCCTTCTCTATAAAATGAAGGGGTTTGGATTAGATGGCATGTAGGGTCTCTGGCTGCTTTAGTCTGTGATCTCTGCCATGTACCAGGTACTGGACTAGGTGCTGGATATACAAGCATGAAATAAAATAGTCCCTGTCCTCAAGGTATTACATTACATTGAGAAAATAGCAGATTTTTAGAAAATGCAATATAAATTATACATATAGTAATTTCTCGGCGAGAAGGCACCAGCAACTGGAGGAATCAGGAGGAGCTTCCTAAATGAAAAGATCATTAAAAGGTAGTAAAACTGTGGATAATGGCAAAAAGGAATGAAGGCTTCAGAACAGATACTGAAAAATGCCTCTTTTCTCAGGGGAAAGTGGAGGGGGATAACTAGGACAGAATATTGTATAAATTATTACTGGATTGGAGGTTTTTGCTTAATTGCTTGTCTATCACAAGGAAGGGTTCAATATGGATAGGAGAGGGTTAAAAGAACTGATGTATAGACCAAAAGTATTAATAAAATGTGTGGATATAAATGTCTGTATATATGCACACACAGATGTATGTGCATGGGGATGTATATGTGTATATGCATATCTGGGCTACTTTCCTAACTTGTACTCACAGCACACACTCAGTGTGAGTCTTTAGAGAGTGGCTGTTACTGTTTAGGTTCTTGGGCACCCCATGGGTCTGAACTTCTAAAATATATAGCTCACAAACCTTCACTTTCCATTAATAGACAATAGAAGGAAGGAAGATAATAAGGATTTATATAGCACCTATTATGTGAGAGGCCCTGTGCTAA